GTGTGTGTGTGTGTGTGTGTGTGTGTGTGTGTGTGTGTGTATTTATTTATAGACACAAAAATCCATACATACACATGCACACAAACATACACACACACAAACATACACACACATTTACTGCCCTTATTCGATACCGGACAGCCATGGCATGTGACTAGAAAGATATGTGCATATACGTTTATATATAGATATATACACATGCATACCTGGGATGACTTGGCATATAAAGGATAGATGTGAACTGCATGGGTTATCGTTCCAATAGCCATAGTTAATGTGGACACAATCCTCCCCGCGCCCGCTGTTATCCGGCTGCCTGGGCTTCCACAAGGTGTAGGCCCCGAGAGGAGTGCCGTCTATCCACTCGAAGTGCCCCTCTACACGCCGGTCATGCAGCCCGATCCAGTGGTCGGTGTCCCGGTGCCAGCTTAGGACGACGTTGGCCATGGCGTCTCGGGGCATGGCGAGGGTACCGCCGTGTTGACGGCAGGTCGCTGCTGCTTCGTTGAAGGTCAGAGGGTCGTGGAACATCTTGTAGCAGATTCCGTTCCCATTCCAGAAACCTCCGGGACAAGATACTGAAAAGGCGTACATAACATACATTTATTACCTTCACTAGAAGATTTTTGTAGCGTTTGTGTGCATGCATGTAATTTAGTAGACTCCTTCACAGACGTAGCGGCGTTAATTTTTTCTTTGGGAGTGACGAGAGTTATACGAAGGAAGACTTGCCGCCGGTGTTTTTTTTTTTCGTAAAGAGAGTCTTTAGCGCCCAACGCCACAATCTATGTCAAGAATATATATGCCTAGTGATAAAGGAGTATAGGCCTGACCTTCTTCGCGCTTGCACGGTACGGTAGTACCAGGCGGTCCAACGAGACCCGGTGGTCCCCTTTCCCCCGGTGGCCCAGGCGGTCCTATGGGCCCCCTTTCCCCTGGACTCGGTCCGGAAGGCCTGGTAGGCACAGAGTCAGCTGGCCCCATGGACCCTCTTACACCTGGCTGTCCTGGTGGTACAGACATGGTTGGCAATATAGTTGGCATTAAAGACCTGTTGTGTCTAAGTGATTTAGACATCTTTTTTTAGTGTCTGTCTTTGTGATTGGTCAGTGCATTTTGGGGATATGGCTGTAAAAGTTGTTAAAAGTAGCTGTGTATGTATATGTACTTGTACCTGTACTCGTTTTCATGATTTGAATAAACAGTGGAAAAAAAAATAGTTGGCATTAATAAAAGTGTGGGGCGCAGCGAGAGCTATACGGGCTGTCCCTGTCGGTGTGTTTAAAAAGGTTAGGTTTTGCCTATGGGTAAATTGGGTCTTTGGCCTCTTTTTAAACCTTCAAAATACGGTTGAAATTTGTACTCTGAACAGGAGGGCATATAAATGAAAGGTTTAAATACTCTGTGATGGTGAGACACTACTTACCCTTAAGTTCGGTTTCTTGTACTGTGCTGAGCTTCATCACCTTCTGAGATAGGGTGTGCACCTTAACTGTATTGAAAAAAAAAGAGAAACAAAAATGAGCTTGCTACGTTCTATATCAAAGTTACTACGTTCCAGACATACTGAAAACTTGGATAAAAGTTATATAGCCAAACGTTTCGGGTGTTGTTGCAACACCCTTCATCAGTGAAATGTGATGAATGATGTTTACATCCCTGAGTAACTCTCCTTTGAATCAGAAAATTATTTGATAGTTAAAACTCCACATATTTAAAACAACAGCGTCCATACAATCCGAATATGTAAAAAAAATGTACATTTGAAATTGTCAACGAAAACGAATCCCAGTTTGTCACTATCTGTGTAATCAAAAAACCATGTAATCGCAAGACGTAGTGACGGCACACTCAAGTTTGTTGAACTTATTTTTATGCAACTAACAACACAAGGAACAATACTTTTAAATTATTTTATTTACTTATTAGTTTCACCTTAGTTAAGTGCGGAAATGCGTGTTCCTAAGGACACAAGATCTGTAGCATGGCAGGGTTCGAACACTAGTCTACCATAACGCCACACGACCCCACACAAAGATTGTTGCTGTATGAATTAATAAAAGATTCTAATGATTATGCGGTGAGACTTCTTTGCTGTGTATAAATGTGACTCACTTTGCAAGAACACTGCGTCATTGCATTGGCACAGTGCAAGCATTCTACACAACACAGAAAACACCAACCTGCAAATAATGGAAATAGCAGGGCCATGGACAGAGCGAAGAAGAAACCTATGACTTTCAGGAACTTCTTGCTCATGTCAAGCCATTTCGTCTTGCTGTTGGTGTCTGCTCCTTAGTTTATATAATTAGTAGTAGAAGAAATAATAATGTTACAATAGATATCACATTGGGCGGTGTAAACATCATTGTGTTTTTTACGTCATGTATCCCGAAGGAGACCTGCTCTTAGTAACTGTTCGTTCTAAGAGTACAGTAGGCTAGCCAATATTCGATTATGGATTATATGTTTGGGAGTTTATCCATATCTGGTAAGAATCAACTTTAATTATGGATGCTCTTTAATCCTTTCTTAATATAAAATCTAATTTGAAATGGGTTTGTTTGATACAGGATGATCAAAGCGCATAAGAAAATGAATTTTTTAATATTAGTCAAAGATTAGAAGCATGGAAACGTTCGTGTAATATATAATCAAAAAGATTATTTCTATCGTCGCTACAATCTACGACAAAGTGACTTCATCTTCTATCTTAATAACGGACACAGGGAAAAGAACAGCAATCGCTTTTAGTTTACCTGCTTTGGAGACGTACATCGCGTTTGGTATAATCGCGACGGCGTCCGCAAGTGACTCCAAATTAGTCTGGTCTTGCTTCTTAGGTGTGGCGCCTGGATGGAGGAAAATTGCAAAATGAGGAATTCTATACCGTAACGGCGTATTTCTCACGAAAACAACACTGTGAAGTGTGTATCCCACAAGCCATTTTGGCATTTTGCTACACACATTGAACCAACAAAAATATAGCTATATTCGTAGTCGATTCCAAACTGGCTTCTGTGATCTGCCAAACTGCACCTTTCTTCTTTAATAAAATATAAACTTACAAAGGAAGCCAATTGGGCAGCCTGTGGTGAGAAACCCTCCCCATATGCGGACAAATCTTCTAAATGTAGTTAATATAGTTGAAGGCTCTTCAAAACCCTTGTACTGATCCACAGAAAAGAGAAGGTGAAACTTCCAAACGTAAACATCAGACAATATTTGAAAGGGAAATTTTACCTGCTGCAGTTCGGTACATCGGATTGCGGAACTCTCTACGCAAATTTTCACGAGCGGATGCACTGTCTGATGGTCCTGCTTTCGCCCCTAAATGCAAACGGTTAACAAATGGTAAGAACAAGTCATCAACACAAGATTACAGATACCACTAGAGCTATAAAACCTATACCCTTCTTTTTTTAATGAAATATAGGCTTACAAAGCAAGCAAATTGGGCAGCCCGTGGTGAGAAACGCCACCCTCCTCATATATCCCCTTCAACTTCAAGGTTTTCCCAGAAAACTAGCCACGGCAGCAGATCTAGAAAAACGCTTGAAAAGAGTAGAAGAAAACCGTTCTGCAGCAGTAAGGGTTCCAAAATCTAATCATCGCTTTGATATGCCAGACTTACCACGTACAACCCAATACACAACTGATCGAATTTAATAGCACTCCAGACATAACGTCTGTGGTCTGATACATACATGAATCCAAGCAAACGTTACCAAAATCATAACCTTCTAAGAAAAGGTAACAAAGACTTGGACAAATTAGGAGAAATCAATCTGTTACCTTCGGTGTCAGCAGTCTGGGACTGCTGCTGCTGCCTTTCCGACATGATGCCAGTTGTCAGTTTTCTGTACAGAAAAGCAACTGACAAGATCTCACATCAGAAACACAAAATGAAAACCACACACGTCACATTTTACAACTAGAGGTCGGAGATCTCATGTCTTCGTCAGAGGTCCATCGTTCTAGAGAAATTAACATGCGTATTCTTCAATCTTTTTAATAATCAATTTGGTCTAAAGAACAAAAGAATCTCTGTACTATTTTTATGGTACAGAACACCCTGAAACGGATTGCCGCAGATTATACAGATGCGTCGTCACCCGTGTTAGCCCCCCCCCTACGTTATTTGAGTTTGGACTGTTACTGGAAAAAAACGTTCAAGAAATTCTTACTGTGTTGAAAGTGTCACGACAGCGCCGCAAAATATAATAAGAGAAGATGTTATAAAGGAAAGAATCAGAACAGGGTGACTACTGCTGTTTTGTTAATTTGTCTTTATGACAAATAGAAGACTTGTTTCTTGTGTTCTTTGTGTCCTAACATTTGTACTTCTACAGTTAGTATATTCCAAATCTAGGCATCTCGTTTTTCGGCCCTTCGTGTTTTTATTGCGCGCTTGCCTTAAATTTAAGGTAATTAGATTTAAGGTCTCCAGTGGACGTCATCCATGGCAATTACTTGGTGTGGCCGTAGAAAATAACCTGACATATGTCCAACCTATCCTCCCCCTGCTGAAGTTATAGTACAATCCCTCAATGTAACGTCATTTGATCCCATCCCATTATGGGGTTCCCCGCTATATCCAGCTGTCGGCTGTCTCCAAGCAGATGTAGGTGGGGATTTCTAAACACAAAAGGTCCTATTACGGGGACATAACGACCTCCACGACTCTCATCTTTGAACTCAATCTTGGAGACCACGACAGTAATATGCCTATCAAATTTCATTAACTTCCATCCATACATACAAAAGTTATCCTGCTCACAAGAAAAATTAACAAAATGCCCCCTGTAGTCACAACGAAACCCCCCACGAAGCTCAGTAACGAACTTAACCTTGGTCCCGACAATAGTAAGCACCACACCAAGAATTATAATCAACATTTTACAAATACTTGAGTTATCTTGCTAACAAGCCACAAAACACAAAAGGTGCACTAACGTGACGCACGGACCCCCCACGAAGCCAAAACTTGTACTTGACTTTGGCCTCAACAGCGGTAATCTGCCTGCCAAAAATCATGGACGTCGAATCATGCCTTCCAGAGTTATATCGCAAAATCCGCAGTTCCCCACACTCCGGCGAGACAATTTCATAGTCCTTCTGACGAAGACAATGACGTACGCATCCTGTTGCAAATTCATTTCTTCCCGTGGTATAAGGGGAAAGGTGATCTGTCTGAGTAGGTGACTATATGTATTCCCCCACCTCTTTTCCCGTTGCAGTAGGCTCCCAAAGAAAAAAAATGGGATGCAGGAATTACATAGTGTCTCTTACATTGACAAGCCAGCTTCGTTCTACGCTGTTGTATTTTCCTGTTGACAGGTTGTAGATGTTGGTATAACTGTTGGCTTTTTAATACTACCTTTCTATATGAAAGCTTGAAAATGTGTCCTTGCATTCAAATGGTTGCCACCAAAATTAATACTGCCGTAATAAACAATCATATTAGGTTATCACAGATGATAAATGCATGTCTCACAAACATGTAAGCGCCTGCAACATTCACTGCCTTTCCCCGTGACACACATGATCGGCATCGGGCAGGATTCGAACTCGGGACCTCTTGGGTCTGAGCCGAGCACTCGCCGGTACCGTTACGCCACACGACCCCAAAAACTCTGTAATGTTGCATGCTGCCAGCCCTTTCTAATGTCAACATTTCAAGTGCAACCGTCACATCCGGTACCTATCAAATCGTGATCAGCAGCATTCAGTTGGTGTTATTAGTATAGCATGCTAGAGCCTTACAACTGTTCTGATAATATTATTATTATCATGTAAATTTGTAATTTTTTCATTTTTCATATTCAATTTTGTTTACCTGGTTATCTAGATCTGCAGACAAACAAAACCTGCACAATAGAAATGTTATCAGATGGACTTTGAACCGTCATGTGACAATCATGAAATATACACAAATTTAAAGTTAGTCTTAAAGGTTAAATGCATTTTTTAAAGTAGTAATAAGACGGGTTTCCTTCCTCTATTTCTTTTATTAAGACAGCCTAAGGTACGTAGGATTGAAACAAACGTGACTTTTCCCAGGATATGTGTAAAATAGTAAATTTGATGCAGGACAGATTTTACTACAATATACAACACCCCCGTAAGCAACAGTGGACACAGCCTTTCGATTTCTAAGTAAAGGGCATCTTATTGCTACAGTTCAATTTGTGACGCAGAAGTTGTTGAACACCATTTTCTATATTACCTTAACAAGTCTGCCTTTATCGGATTCCATACAAAAAGAATGGCTTCAAATCAGGATAAAGCAGGAGATGGACTGGAATTCAGAGCCGAATATTTACATGTGGAGGGTCGAACAGGGGCAAAACTGGTCGTCAATTGCCCAACAAAGCCATTGATGTGGGGTGCCATAATTGTTGTTGGTGGTGTGGCCTTCGTTGTCTTTGGTGCAGCTGGTGTTATCACGCTGCTCAAGAAGATGAAGGTTTGTATTTTGTCACAAACACTATATCACAATGACGTCTATAGGATATTAGCTGATAATTGAATCGTTGATATTAGGTGAGGTGAGTTTTTAGACTTACTACTGAAAATATAGAGCATATTTAGTATCCATCATTTTGCTTCTGAATAATTTCCTTACTTGCAACACAGATCTTAATCGTTCCAAATCCTACACCTTAAATTACTTTAAAAATTAATGAGTCAAATTTAATTTCTAGACTTGGTTCTTTGACATTTCGTTTGAAAAAGTCAGCAAGATGAAAACAGAACGTTGTCTAACATCTGGAAAATACCACGGAGGCATAAAAAATGAATCTGGTCCATTCACATTTTCTTATCAAAGTTTGGCACAAGTATATGTCTTTAACTTCGAGAAAAAAAATAATAAAGCAAAATATCCTTATACCTGCAGGAGTGGAAACTGATCTGAGCGGCATCAACACATCAAGCTGGCTGTTCACAATCTGGGAAGGGTTGCAGCCAGAAGAAAAGGGATTCCAGTTACATGCCTTTCTGCAACATCATCAGGATTGATTGATATGCTACTTGCTACACAATGTTTCTGATACACAATGTAGTATGCATGGTGTCACGAAAGGAAACTGTTTCAAACTATGAGAAAATAACCGCTAACTTTCTATGCGTCAAAATTTGTGTTTACTAATTATTAGTATAATGATTTAAACTGTCCCTACTATCAAAGAATGTGTCTACCGTACTAAGATGTTTGAGGTAAGCATGAAACTGTATAAACATTTCATGAACATACACTATTTTGTATCAAACTAAATGATGGAGAACTTGTTAGATGAAAATTTTGTTAAAAAATGCATTCAATTTGATTATTCTTTTAGATGCTGCATGCTTTATAAGCTGTGGCTGTGGAAGTCATGTGACATCATTAGAGAACTGCAAATCTTGCGTCTCCACCAGACTCCTTTGATGGCTGAAAAATAGAAATCGGCCTTAGAAGGAGTTTTACTTTGATCAAAGAAGTTGGGTCCAATTTGCAGGCAAATTTTCATCTGTGAGTAGATTAAGTTGTCACATCATGATATTCCTGTATTCCATATTCAGAATTTATTTTGTACATTGGATATTTAACCCTTAGGTGCTTTTAACTTGAATTAGATGAAATTGGTGTCATACAATGTATTTTCTGTTGAAAACATAATAGGAAAACATATATTCAATGCTGAATAGACTGTGACCTGACCTCTCCAACATAGCGTAGCAGATTCATCAGTAGGCTGATGTTGGCCTCCTCAACATGAAGTTATGAATAGATTTAACTATATAACTGCCCTCTCACAATTTGACAAAGTGCATTCAATAAATAAAAATAACATAACGTACATGTAGCACTAGGTTTTAATTATCACTATATACTATAATCATAGTCATCCTCCTTGTAATCATGACTGGAGTCCTCAGTATAGTGGTAGTCTACAAAATGCATATGCATGGTGTATACATGTAGCTGTTCTCTCATAATCCTCATAATCCTGACTTGAGCCCTCTAGATTTGTAACCTGTATACAAGGTGTATTATTAACTGTCCTCTCTCACTTTGACGATGTACATTCACTAAAATAACGTTAAGTACATGAAGCACTACATGACTTAATCATCGCTATTATAGTCCTCCTCCTTGTAATTCTGACTGGAGTCAGCTATGTACATGTGTACATGGTGTACGCAACTATCGTGTCCAAAGTGTGTATTGACATTGTGTATTCAATAAAAACATTTAAGTACATGTATCACTAGTTTTTAATCATGACACTATAGTCATTCTCCTCATAATCCTGACTGGAGTCCTCTGTAGTGATTATGCATGGTGGATAGCGGTCCTCGCTCCAGTTACATGTAAAAAATTAATGACCTATTGTGTACATGTATTCACTAAAATAACACGAACATGCAGCACTAGGTTTTAATCGTCACTGTTATAGTCCTCCTCCTCGTAATACTGACTGGAGTCCTCGGTAGTGATGATGCATGGTGTTCAACTGTCCTCCCCAGTTGAAAATGTGTATTCACTAAAATATGTGTATTGTGTGTTCACTAATTAAAACTAACACTACAATGTAGCACTAGGTTTTAATCATCACTGTTATAGTCCTCCTCCTCGTAATCCTGACTGGAGTCCTCCGTAGTGATGAGCTGGATAATCCCCCTCATCAGCTGTCCCTCCTTACTGTCCTCATCCCAGTTTATCCCTCCTGGTCTGGTGATCTTCTGCTGCAGAACTGTGTCCAGTTCATGTCTTAGACCCTGAGAAATGTACAATCATGTATGTAAGACATCTATATATAAAGTTTTTCCTTACAAAACGTCAGCAGCACAAAAAGACTTAGCTTGCAACATTAGGTCCTTTGCCACTCCTAGGATTTCTATCAAAAGATTTAATGATTCACATCAAACTAAATGTACAGTGTCACATATCTTGCTTAAATAGTTGGTCCTTAAACTTTACATGTTTAGCATAACTTCTTATTGCTTCACACTAAGATACATGTATCAGAAACATCGACATGATGAAGGTTAAAAAACATGTTAGTCACCTTGACCAGTTTGGCCGTCCTGGTTGCAGCTCGGAAGATGATCCAGTTGTCAACGGCAACCGTTTCCTGGTTACCATCCTGGAAATTATCAAGTATTGGTTTCATTAAAAGGGGATTAGAGTAGTAAAAAAAACATCATGTTACGTACAGTTGTGTGACCTGACAACCTTGAACTTTTGAAAAAATGGCAGCAACCAAAATTGTCTGCGTTGCAGTTACAAACCTTCACATGGGCAATCAGGTATTGGCAATTGATTAGCAACAGAACAACCATTCAAATCTAATTTGAACCTAATAATAGTTACTGTTACAGGTGTATAATCATGTGCCTACCTTCTGTATTGTGATGTCACCTCCAAAGAAGAGTAGAGGGTATGGAGAGATCATAGTACAGTCATACAGGAATACCTGTAGCAAAGTAAGGTACATGACATATAATTTATCAATACTCAGTCCACCATAATTTTGGTTTCCAGGTTCTTTGACACATAGCACATGGAAAAGTACAGAAGACGAATTAACAAAAAATTGTAAGATTGCCGTATAAAGACAAGGAGATACATGTATCTGTAGGAGTTGTTTAACTGTATCTGTATCAGTATGGCCGGTATAACCGCCCTTCAGCATAACACACCAGCTTCGCAGGCACGCGGCGCGGCGGCAGCTAGCTATGTCACACCAAACGACTTGTTACACTACAACTACTTGACTGTACTACTTGTACGTCAAACAATGTTAAAACTCTACTGCCAAATAAGCAGGTTTCTGACCTGAGTAGTTTTCATCTTCATGTGGTAGATCAGCCAGCCGTCCTCAAAGTACTTCTCATCAGCGTTGACAGACTTCGGGTGAAGCTGAACCTTCTCATGTTTGGTCACCAGTTTGGGCGGTCTGGGAAACAGCATACATTTTTTCAGTACTCTTAGTCTAATGCTAGTAATTCTTTATTTGCCCGCCAACTAAGGTGTGTTGACTGTCCTTCAGAATAAAATATCTAGTTGTGTCATAGCATAAATGACGTCTAAATTGAAGTATTGTTTTCAATTGGAATACTCTCTATTTTTTCTTTTAGAAAAGCCTACCATCGAAGAGAACATCAAAAGAATGTAACACATGACATTTAGGACACTAGTTTCAGATACATTTTGCTGTACACACAACCTGAAAATGCCATGTACAGGGACAAGCACACCTACATTGTACAGTATATTAATGCCCTTTCAAACAAGATGGAGAAATTAAAAAAAAAATGGTCCTACCTTTTTCTGAAGTGCTGTTTTGGTCCCCTGACTTTTGCCACATTTGGATACAGCCCTGCACAGATCACAGCTTTCACCAGCCTAATGTTACCTGTGATGAAGCAGTAACATCTTATTCAGGTTTTGCCATAACTTACATTGTATATTAGAACTCACTGGTTGATATTGCACAGCAATGATTAACAACACCAACTTGACTAAGAAGGGAGTACTTAATATTTGATCTGCACAATATGTACTGTGGAATATCATTCAAACTTACATGTATTATATAACAATATTATGAGAAATGAATCAAGCAACTGGATAGATAAAATTGCTTGACTTATTTTGTGTAATGTTTAGCTTCATTGAAGTATATGACAATTTCATTTTACATTGTAATTCAGTGAGATTCTTGTAACGGTTGTATCAAATAATTCCCTCTACTTTTGAGTCTTAATGTTGCAAATGATCCTCCTTTACCAAATTCTTAAGGTCAACATTAAGGAAACCATACAATGACTTTAGGATGGAAGTTCAAGGGTCACAAAATGGTAAGGTCTCACTGTAGGGTATCTCACCAGAGTTTTTATTGCACTGAGGGTTGCTGGGATTTCTGGTCTGCACAAAGCCGATGTCCTGCAGCAGCTCAGCAAACTGCAGCTTCATGTTGGACAACATCTGCAGAACAACAAAACATTCCACACAAATGTCATCAACAAAACAAATGGCTCATCAACACGCTCTTCTAATAACCTCTGAATTGTTTCAATGTGTCAGCTTTATATGACAAAACATAAAAGCTCCTTTTCAAAATTTGATATTTGATGGGCAAAATTAAAATACATGTACTAGATAGCAGTTTCTTATTTCTTATATAATACAAAAAAAATAATTCAAGCTTTCTTTTTAGTAGTTTTTTCTTGTTATTAACAATGCGTAATGGCTGCCAATAATCCTACACTGTAGGGCGGGGCAGTAACGGAGAAGAAGAAAAAGGAGTACAATGTCATGAACAAATGTATGTCAAAATGCACAAGTTGTTGAGAGTGAAATTTGAATTAGAAATATCTTGAAGTTCATAATTTAATTTCTTAATTTTATACAGTTGTACATTTTTTTAACTCTGAAAGCTTGCTGACATGATGAGCCCCTCCCACCTTGAGTGTGTTGACTGACAGGAAGTTGTCCCAGCAGAAACGTCTCTCCGACTCACGACCTTGGGACTTCGCTCTCTCCCAGCTCTGAATAAAACAAACAAAGAACTAGATTGAATGGTGCCTCCCACAAAGCTAAGTTAAAATGCATCATACTGATTCACTGTGTCAATATGTGACTGTCTGCTCTAATTACAGTACTGTTGTAACATTTAACAGCTGATGAAGATACATGATTGTCTAAACATTTGAAGGTTGCCCCCCCCCCACCCCTTTACCTCCCCATTCTGTCAGCTCTTCTTGCTTACTTCCTGAATCTATTTCAATCTCTAAGAAAATGATCTTCCCCACTTTGACCTTTCTTCTGCCAGATACTTTTGATCTTCAAATTTGATGTACCCCGGTATAAACCATAACTGATAGTAAATTTTGAGTAAAATATTATACATTCAGGTAGATTGAATGACCTTGAAGGCGTTGATGAGCATGAGATGGTCACTCTTACTCCCAGCAGCAAACTCCCTCCTCCTTCTGTCTGCCTCCTCCTCCTTACCCTGTGGGTTATCAACAAGGCAATCAGAGATCATGGCAGACTTCACCCCTTCATGCAGTCAGTAACACACACAGAGACACATTAAAAAGACACACACAATACTTCTGAATCATCAAAAACATCAGGCAAGCACTTACAACACTTGCACTGATTATTCTTGCATCTGAAGACAGATTCCGAATAATATTATAGCACCGCAATGTCCAAAGTCGTAGGAAAGTAAAATTTCACAGTGCCGAATGTGTTGGATGACACAGGAGCTCCTAAGTTAAATTCTCTCTCTACATCATAGTGACTCTCTTTTGCTTATCATGACTGTCATGATTATAATCATTATACTAATCATGACTGTTGTGTGACAGCACTAGAGACGTACATGTAAAAGACTGCAAGAAGCTAAAAGTTAGGGAGTCATCCTAATATAGTTTTACAAAGAATGAAAATCAACACATGACTCATGAGTATAGACTTGTAAAATATCAAGAAGGATCTGCTGAATTACCAGAGGAATGACAAATGGATCCTTGAACCCCAGACTGGCTGCCACAGTGAGGACCGGATCCAGACAGGAGAAAATGGCTCCAAATAAGATCATCTTTCCAATGTGGGGCTCTACAGGCAGTCTGAGGAAAATAACCAGCTTTCAATGACTTACATTTCTCTGTCTTGATTCTGACATACATCTATCCAATGCTTCTTTGCAACCCTTGTGGTCCCATAGACAAAATACTGTATCAGAAGCAGCACCAAGGGTCTAGACAAGGTTGTATTGTATGGCGATCGTAGTAATACACACACACACACACACACACACACACACACACATACACACACACTCACACACATACAGATACACACACACAGACACACACACACGTACAGACACACACACAGATACACACACACACACACACATACACACACAGTCACACAAACACACACACAGAAGCCACAGACATGGGAGACCTTTGACCTATCTAACAAAAGTCAGTGTGTGTGAGGATATTGAACCACAAAGTCACTGTAACATACATTATGCATTTGCATCAATGTATGTACTGAAAGATAATACAGTAACTACAATCATGTAACATCTTACCCATTTGTGCAAACTGTTTATATTATATTCCAGTACCTCATGGGTACAAAGGTCAATGGTCAAGGTCATTGGTCCATTCAAGGAATGTATGTTAAATACCTGGCCAGGTGATACCCTAGGGGTGTCAGGTTCTCTTGTCTGTCCAGGGCATTCTGGATAAAGAAAACAAATGTTCACTACAGTCAAATCTGTTATTGTGCATGTGAATAATTCTGCCTCAGGACCACCTGACTAGTTACCACTTTTACGTGGTCCCTAAATAATTACCCCATACAGTCACGTAATATATAGATCCTGTCTGTAGTGGCCACTTGGCTACCATCATTTTCCTCAAAGTCCCTTGACCACCGTAAAAACAGATATTTGTGCTACTTACGCTGTTCTTAAAGAATCAAATTAAGACAGCAGAATCTGATGCTTAACAGGTGGGGGAACATAGTTTACAGTTACATGTAGTAGTAAACAACACTGTCTAGTCTTTAAGATAAGAAGAATCTAAAGTAGACTTACCAGGTCCTTGAGGTTAGTGATAGCCAGCTGTACTGCCCTGAGGGAAGGAGAACTCATGGCCTTCTCTATAAATGGTAGAATAGCTCCCAACTTCATCAGCTGTGACATAAAAAAGACAGTGTCAAAAGAAAAAAAAGAAATTGACCGCCAAAATAACAAATAGCCTTTTAGTCAAAGGCAAAAATTCAAGCTGCATTCCACTGACACCAAATGCACATTGTCAACACTAAATTACACATATAAGGTCACCTGCCTTTTGTCTGAAAAGATCAGGTGGTGTTGACGTAACCTTAGCAGTGAAACCCACCTGCTAAATGACACATATCTGATTGGTGAGCCGATGTCACATGGTCATGGTCAAACCCCTTCAAAGAAAATCGTGTATCCCGTCCATTGCACTTCGTCTGTTGAAAAGGCATTCATTTCACCTGCTTGCGCAATCATAGCCTGGCCACCATATTGGATAAAGAAGGATTTAGAACAAGAAAAATCTGTAATCATGGCTGCAGCAATGTTTGTGTATGGCCGTGTAAATTTGAGGTTGAACAACCCACACATGGTAGAAGAAGAAGTTGGCACGTTCTACCTGGCCAACAAAGAGCTGACCATGTTTGCTGTCCGCCAGGCTATTGAGAGGAGAGAACCTGACATCCGGCTAGCCGACCCAAGGGTGGGGCAGGAGTTCCAGGATGGCTACCTACTGGTTCCTGTGATCTTCCATTCAAAGCTGGGCTACCAGTACTTCTCCTGCATCTCCAAAGGAGACTACCTCAAGGAAAAAATGAAGGAAGAGTTTGGGAAAATTGGCTATAAGGAGCCCTTCAATGTAGGCGTGGAGAAATGGGAGTTACCAGAGAGGCCTAAGCCACAGAACAAAGTTGTTAAGTGGCTGACGACCTTGCCCCAACAGGTTGGTACATTCATAACACAGCTAACAAAAAGCAAGACTACAGGATTGAGTGGTTACATTGCATGGCCGACACATGAAATTTGATTTTTAGAGGTAATCTAAGGCCACACCAATTTAATTTGTTGGTTCTCGGATTCGCCTCTTCATTTTTTTCTGATTTGAAAAAAAAAAAAAAGATTCTGGTTCTGAATCAACTCAAAAATGCTCATATTTTGCTCATGCAGTTGAGGAAATTCCTTTTCTTCCTAGTTGTTACAGTTTTTTCCATCTATCAATGCAGTGGTTTCATTAAAAGTTCAAAATTTATACTTTAAATTTTAACCCAGCCTTTTTTTATGACTTCGTGGCTTATATCGTAGCATTTGGGGCTACATGTATAATAGGATGCCCAGACCTGTTTTTATTTTAATTTTTTTCGCCCTGTCGCTTCATATTTTTTCGGAAAAAATCCGAGAACCAACAAATTAAATTGGTGTGGCCTAAGATCAGAAAATTTGATTGAATATGAAACAAATATTTTTGTCTTCACAGAATATGATGTATGAGCCCAGCCAGACAGCATCGGTGGCTGACCCATGGGATATCCTGGGCTGTTCTCCAGTCAGAGCTGGAGATGACAGCAATACATCTGCCATGCTAGCCAACTCTGGGAGGGCAGCTCCACCAGTGGCCACAGTCAACCCATCTCCTCGTCCTAACAACACTCTGGGACCTTTGGATATCGAGTGGGAAGAGGAGGACAACAACAAGGAGACAAACACTGAGTCAACCTACTGAGAAAGACCGGTCCAGGAGTGTCGAAAGCTCTAGCCTAGGTGAGAAAACCTCTTTGTGTTGGATTAGAAGTTTTAACTTCAAACAAGGAGAGGAACAGTCAGAAGAAATCAGAGGAGGTACATACATTGTAGTAATCATTTCATTTCCATATCCCTCATATCTAGTAATGAGGGATAATATGGAATTATAGTGGAGTGGGAATAAAAGTTTAATGCATTAGTTAAATGATTAATGCAAAATTTAATAATTTCAAGCTACAGGCAATCTGTTCTTTGAAACACTATGACTTGTCTTCAAGTCAATAAATTTTTTAATGCATTGTATGGCAAGGATAAATTATTTTGCCTTCACATTCCAATCTGAGATTCACAAGTATCAAACACGCTCAACCAGTACAAACAAAATCAGACCAAAATCCAACTCTCAGAAAAGGTGCCTTCTGTACATGTAAAGAATGTCACAATTCTGGAATAACACAGGAGGCAACTAGCAAAGTACTGGGCTGTAAATAGTGTTTTTAAGGAATTGTGCTACATACTGTCACTTTGTAATGTATTTGTACATTTGTAATACATGTACATGTATGTATAATTATAAATATATGACTGTATAGACCACAGGAAGAATAGCCTCTTATGAGGCTGATTGTGGTTATAAATAAAACTCAAGACATGGACATTCAAATTATTATTTATATTTTACCTTCAATTTTTTTTTCTGCAGAAAAGAGGAAGGAGAAGAAGAAGAATATTCTCCAAGCAGAGGTTATTTTTAATTTTTTTTATTTTTGTCGCTACCACTGACTTTGGGTGGCACAAGCACATGGACCCTCTCTGGCCAATGGACACTACTGCCTGGCCAATTTGATACACAACTTTCTTTTTGCCACCTATAGGATCTGCTTGGAGATTAGAAGAAGAAGAGGAAGAGACTCACAGCTCAAACAAGTCAGACATTAGCAGCAGCATCCAACACAGGATGCAGGTACAGGAACAAGTATTTAAGGCTGAGCTACAGGATGGCCCACTGAAGATCACATAATCCTATTTTTGTAACCTGGCGACTGACTGTTAGTGTTCACAGTATTTGCCAAAACTTCATTACTAACTCTAACATCCATTGACACCAACTTTATCTGATTTCTCTGAACTGTAACAATCATGACATTCTTTAATATTACTGTCACAGTAACAATGTCTGTGGTGAACATAAAATCCATAAGAAAGTGAAACACTAAGTTACAAGATATTCAATTTGACAACAGAAATGTTTGTAAAACTTAGTATACATTTCAAATTTTATTATAATGTGTATATGATGTGTCCTAAAGTTTGAAGCTTGCTGTGTGATAGTCACATACATTGGAGCTGTAATTAGTTAACATTGTGTGTAAAAGGCTCTTATGGGTTTGAAATGTCTGTCATTTCTTGGTAGATTCCATTAGTACACTGTATGTACAAGTCATGTAGGTATACAGCTTTTCTTTTATTTTACAGGCATTTGCTTTGCATTTATGCCACAAATAAAAATTTGCCATTCATTATTCTCAATGATGTCAGACTGTGCTTTCATTTAGGACACTTTCTACATCTAACACTTAGTAGTACGGTTACAGTAACTTTTAAGGTTGTTTTGTGAAGCAAAAAAATTGCTAAAGCTAGAGACTTCCCAAATGTTTGGTCATAAATAATATAATAATTGTGTTGGTTACGTATCTAATTCATCACTGTATTTATTGTCAACTGCATATTGTTATTATCACCCTAAGAAAGTGTAGAAGTTTAAAGTTTGAACATGGCCCATTACACTGAACATTAGTTATCCTCAAGGTTTATGGCATTATGCCCAACCAGATAAACACAAACAACAAAGCCCATGTAACTCTATCAGGTGAAACCGATGAGCCCTTAAACAATTATCCAGGTGTGCTTACACACCAGTGCACCAGGTAACTTTATGATACTCTGACAGGAAGACTATATGGTGTACATGTAGTGTGCAGAAGAAATAATAAAGACAACATATCAAAGTTGTGATGATCAGATTATCAAAACTAACACTTATGTCAAAAGAATGTCTAACTGCATTTGAAACTTACTTTTGTAGTTACTGTAACTGTTACAGTTACAGTAAGAGAAGTACATGTAACACACCCCTATAGAGGATCTTGGTACAGCCCTGTTAATTGTAACCAATATAATGCTGGCACTGAGTCATTAGGTAACACTAAACCATTGCATTCAAGTTCAAGGAGAGGGACGTCATGTTAGTTTCACTTTTAAGGCTGTGTTCAACCTAGCATGGCCGAACAAGCGAGAGATGTTGGTCAACAGGTGGGGCAGGCTGCCCAAGCTGCAGCACAGCCTGCCCTGGAAATACTGGTCGAGTGGGGGCGGGTGCTTCTTAGGATTAACAACCCTTGGCTGGCAGCTGGTTTTGGTATCGGTGCGTTCTACCTGGCCAACAAGGCCCTAACCATGCTGGCTGTCCGTCGGGCTGTTGAGAGGAGGGACCCCGACAACCCTGACCAGCCAGCCGACCCAAGGGTAGGGGATGAGGTGCAGCAAGGCTCCCTCCTGGTTCCTGTCTACTTCTACTCCCAGCTGGGCTACCAATACTTCACCTCCATCCTGAATGGCCCCTTCCTGAAGGGCTGCCTACAGACAGAGCTGGAGAAGGTTGGGTACAAGGAACTCATCAACGTGAATGTGGAGAACTGGGAGCTACCAAACCTGCCGGAGGGGATGATGAGGGAGGAGAGAGTTGTGAGCTGCCTGGCACAGCTACCTGAGAAGGTGGGTGGGCCACAATTGGTTGGTCACAATTTTCCAATGAGAGTTTAATCAACTGAATCAGATGTTACAGTATCCTCCTTGGTATTGCAGTTACTGTCTTCACTCAGAAAAATTTATTGCAAACAAATTTTGATTTTTATTACAACTGAACAAATTAAATATAAATTTTATTTGTTTTTCACAAGCTTTAACACAGTGAAATACATAATGTCAATGTAAATCAAACTCCCCTCCTAGTCATTAATACAAGTTGATAAAAAGTGACTGAAGGGAGAGGGTCTGGGGGACTGGAAACCCCTGACCTGATGATGATGATAACAGTTCATTTTATGCTTCAGAATCTGTGCCTTTTACACACGCACATACATGTAATGCTATAACAGTTGGCACAGAATTTTAATACAACACTCCTTGAAATCTCAATCAAATTTGTTAGGGTATTCCTGTAATATAATTTTTTTTATCATTGTAGAACTCACTCACTCACTCACTCACTCACTCACTCACTCACTCACTCACTCACTCACTCGGCATCCTGGTTTAGATTATCAAGGTACAACCTATGAGGAAACCCTTGAATTTAGTTCAAACTTTCACCTCCTTTTACTTAACACAGATGAGCAAGCTGAGCACAGCAGCACTCGGGGATTCTGGGATACCTGAGGATGTTTTCTCTGAAGCAGCTGGCACTTCTGTCACAACACAGGAGGATGTAGAGGAGGAGACTAGACCATCTGGACCTGAACAACAGCAGCCTGGTGAAAAGAAAGGCCCACGGAGATGGCTGTCAGCAAGGCTAAAAAAAAGCCTCGATCCAGCACAGGTCCCAGGTACTTCACAGCAGACTGAGCTACAGGAGGGCCCACTGAAGGGGCTTAGAGCCAGGCTACTGCATCATAAGGGCTCACCAACTGCACAGACCTGGCTCATGGCCTGCAGCTGCCTGGAGAGAGGGGCCGTCATGCTGACCAGCAGAGGGTACCAGGAGGGGGAGGGGGTGGAGCACCTGCTGGAGGGGTTTGTGCTGATGGAGATGGTGTCACGTAGTAATGTTCACACATTCCTGTATGACCGTTTGCATCTGAACAAAGAAAAGTTGGACCAGCTCATCTCAAAACAACTCCATGCTAACCCTGACAGCACCCCCTGTCTGCTGATACATGCACTGCAGCTTCCTGAGTGGCACAGCCGTCAACAAAAGGCCATAAACAATGTGATCGACATTGTTCTACAGCATGGAGAAACAGACCCCATGTACAAACATCTGGTTTACATATACTGTGCTTTAGGCTATACAATATGGCAGACCACCCCACAACCAGCCCCAGCCCTATCTGCCTATGCCAGTGCACTTATGTACAAATCTGACCACCTGTTCACCATGTATCTCACAGCTCTGTCTTCCATGCATGTGTCTGTCCCACAGGCCATCAGGCAGTTTCATCACTTCATTCACACAGCTCCTACAGACCATAACTGTGTGCCCCGTGCTCATTACCACCTGGTTCTCCTGTACGCCCTGCAGGATCTATCTGTCCACAGGGACAAAATCCTGCACCACTACAAAATGGCTCAGGAGACTGAAAGTAACAGACTGCCTGTGTTTATCCCAGTCTCCAGTGAGCTGAAAGACCGGGCCATGAGGGTGTTTAAACTAGTCATGCCACAGACAGATGAGTAATTCATCAGGACAAGAGTAAAGTACATGTACATATTACTTGTCAAGTTCATGTTTCTTCACTTATTTTCTTAAGACATTAGTTCTTGTTGTCATGTAGACATGAAGGTCTGCATTCTACATTTTACAATTGTGTTACAGATTTGATAAATACAAACCGTCAAATAAAATGACAACTTGAGGTAAACTGTCTTGACATGTAACACCATATATTTTAAGGAACAAATTATGGACTTTTTTAATGATGTCAGCTAAATTGTACATCACTTGTGTTGCAGGATTTAACTCTGTCACATTTTCTTTGCGGTGTTCTAGTTTGCAAGTTTACAAGTAGTTTTAGTGCTCTGTAGTCTCATATGTTAATCACCAACTGAATGATCATGACTGATACTACTTACATTTGTAACTTGATGATTTTGTAACAAGAGTGCTTTGTGGTGTTGTGTGTTTTAGTTTTACTGTAGTTGTAAGTTTTAAATAAATACCATGTAAAAAAGGACTAAAATCTTGTTTTGTGATTGTTACAGTTACCGAACAGTAACAGTTGTACAAAGGGAACTTTGTTAAAGGGAACTGAGGATCTCAGGTAGCTGGTGCCTCTGCATTATTGACTCTCCAAACAAACAAACAAACAAACAAACAAACAATCAAACAAACAAACCTTAATCTGCAGACAGAGTTCTTCCAGTGGAGTCCTGAGGATCTCAGGTAGCTGGTACTCCTGCATCTTAGACTCCCCAAACAAACAAACAAACAAACAAACAAACCTTAATCTGCAGACAGAGTTCCTCCAGGGGAGTCCTGAGGATCTCAGGTAGCTGGTACTCCTGCATCTTAGACTCCCCAAACAAACAAACAAACAAACAAACAAACAAACCTTAATCTGCAGACAGAGTTCCTCCAGGGGTGTCCTGAGGATCTCAGGTAGCTGGTACTCCTGCATGTTAGACTCCTTGAGTCTGGAGAACAGGTGATAACACACACCTGGCTGTACCCTGGGAGGACAGACAACAGAAGACATGAGTGGTAAAGCCTATTTTAGTCATAGATCTACAAATGTAATATACTATTTCATGATCATGTAATAAAATATATACCATCATAAATACTGAAATACATTTATTACAAATATTATGTTACACATTTACTTGATGGAAACAGTCCTGTAAAGTGTTATGCAACTTATGATAGCTACTACCCATTGAAATTTGATTTTACATTAATATACAAGTTATAAATTTGACCAATATTTAATAGCAGTGACTCCTTCCATGTTTAAAGACCAACATTTGACTTATATTTCCTGATTCAACCCCATACTATACACATCATTCCATACATCTAACTCTAAAGCATATTTAATTTTACCATACATATATTAAATCATCTACATGACATTGTATATACGGTTAGGGTAACCATTATTATACAAACGTACCTCCCAGCCCTGCCTCTCCTCTGTTTAGCCGATGCTTTACTGATCCATACAGGCTGTAGTGTGGCCAGGTTGTTAAGTTAGTAGCTGTTAACTATTAACTAATGTTAACTAACCTCCCAGCCCTGCCTCTCCTCTGTTTAGCCGATGCCTTACTGATTCATACTGGCTGTAGTGTGGCCAGGTTGTTAAGTTAGTAACTGTTAACTGTTAACTATTGTTAACTAACCTCCCAGCCCTGCCTCTCTTCTGTTTAGCTGATGCCTTACTGATCCATACAGGCTGTAGTGTGGCCAGGTTGTTAAGTTAGTTGTGGATAACTGTTAACTAACATTATCTAACCTCCCAGCCCTGCCTCTCCTCTGTTTAGCTGATTCCTTACTGATCCATACTGGCTGTAGTGTGGCCAGGTTACTAAGTTAGTAATGGTTAATTGCTAACTAATGTTAACTAACCTCCCAGCCCTGCCTCTCCTCTGTTTAGCTGATGCCTTACTGATCCATACAGGCTGTAGTGTGGCCAGGTTACTAAGTTAGTAATGGTTAATTGCTAACTAATGTTAACTAACCTCCCAGCCCTGCCTCTCCTCTGTTTAGCTGATGCCTTACTGATCCATACAGGCTGTAGTGTGGCCAGGTTGTTTGTGATGTCAAAATTCTTCTCTTTCACTTGTCCACAGTCCACAACATACACCACATCATCTATGGTTATACTGGGGGAGGGGGAATAGGTCAGGAATGAATTAAAGAAAGTATTTCAAATTGCTGTATACTGTACATGTAGCTTTGAGAATGACGTTCTTTCTTTGGTTACAATTAGCAGATTCTGAAGAAATTACATTGTTCATGTATGAGACTCTGTCAATGAGAGTCCAAAAAAAAAAGTTTAAAATGTGTAACAGTTAATAGTCCAGACTAGCATTGATAAAATCTTGTCAAAGTGTTCACATCATGTGCTACCCAATATATCTACATGTATACTCTGATAACTTACCCTAAGATAATAACATTGTAAAAATTCCTGTTTAGTCAACAAAACATCCATCTACCTAACATTTGCTACTTACCTTGTTTCAGCGATGTTTGTTGCTAATACAACCTTCCTCACCCCTTTCGGTGGCCTTTCAAATACCTGAAAAAATTGTACCAAAATGTTCGGTAAAAAAATTAACAAGTACAAGTAGTTTGTACCCATCTGAACCTCAGCCTGGAAATCATCTAAAAAGTTGACTTTTTACAAACTTTAACTTATGACAGAATGACCAGGAATTCGAAGTACCTGAGTCTGATTGACAGTTGGCATCATTGAGTGAAGAGGAATGATCCGGAACTTTCCTAGAACAGAACAAACGAAAAGTCAGTTATTTCTTCAGACATTTTCTCTTCAAACTGTTTAAAAAGTTTTTGATTCTCATTATCACTTTCTCATTCTCCTGTCACAGTGTCGGCATTAAAAAAGAACTAGACTGAAAAAACAAGATACATACATGAGTTATCAATCTCTAACAAAGAAGTACAATGTAATACAAAATAGGCTCACCTGATTTCGACATGCCCTGTGATGCCAGCATGTCATTAACCTTACTGATCTGGTCCCAGCCTGGTAGAAACACCAGGATAGCTCCATCCTATAGTCAATATAGAGTTAGCAGGGACAAAACAGATTGTAGAATTTACATGTAAACTGCATGTTCAGGCAACATTCTATTATTCAAAATGGAGGAAATGAGATTTGATATACACGTAATGAATATTTTGCAACTTACAAACAAATAGTATCTTTAATTATTCTAAATCATAACGTCTTACTCCCAACTGAAGCAGGTTTGTTAGATGACAGAAACTTTGACTTTAACAAAAAGGGAAAAATAACTTGGCAAACAAACTGATGGTAGAAAACTGGTCTCACAGGCTTGTTGTAAGTGATGTACTTGATGAGCTCCATGGTCAGGTTCAGGTCCAGGTTCTGATGGTCCATCCTCTCCAGGGAGTCAAGTGTCCTCGAGGAATATCTGAGGAGGGTTCAAGGTCAAGAAATTAGGATATTTAAGTACGTTATTGTGTTCCTAAGGATACATTTAAAGTCTCTTAATAATATTTCAACTCCATGAGTTACATGTATCCTTTACCTTACACACATCTAATCTATAATTATATTGTTTGATAGACCTACAAATAGTGTAACACTTTTATTAGTTTTAATCTAACAAGCAAATTTTTCCTACAGACTGTTGTGTTGTCCCAAGCAACAAATCCTTCACACAATTAATTATCAAATTATCAAACAGTACAATGTATATCATACAGATTAGTCAGAAGTATTGGCTAAGGCATCTATTCGGACCTGTAAATTCTGTAGAATTGTAGGTAAACCGAACAAAAATTTTGGTACTTTTGTGATGTCTACTTACAATGTTTCATGCAATTATCATTTGATGTAATTGAGGTTCTCCATAAACCAGCATGTTACCTTCTAGATATGGTTTGTAAATATTCCCTCAGCTCCTGTCTTTCTTCCTCCTCTCTCTCCATCCTTTCTTCCATCTCCTCTCGTCTCTTCCTGCCATAGACTCTCCTCTGGGGTTTGGACTGGGCTTCAGGGGGATCATATCTGAAGAAAAACGTTCATAATCAAGTTATTTTTCGAGAAAAATGAGTGAAATGCACAGGATATGATAAAGCCACACCAATTCATTTTCTTGGTTTTCAAAAATGTACAAGTAAAGATGAGTCAAGGGCTGGTAGCAAAACTTGAACCAGAAGTTCAGTTGCAAAACTGTTTTACCAAGGTACAGACTTTTCCCTCAGACCCTGTTTCATGTGAATCCTTCAGTTCAGTATTACAAATAAGGAGAACCAACAAGTTAAATTTGTGTGGCCTATGGTCAGTTACAATAATTGTATTGAATATACACCAGACAGAGCACAAATTCGGAGATGGCCCAAAATCATGAATCTCGCACAAAAACAAGACACTAAACAGAAGGTCCTTGTGCAGGTGTTGTTCATACATGTACCTGGTGAGTTCCAAGACATCTTCTAAGTACAAGTCCTCTACAGGGAAGGTGAACCCGGGGATGTTAGACATCGGACTGTTTCCTGATGAAAGGTATAAAAATTTCTTATTAATATTATACTTAGTAATACATGTAATACATCAATGCATCACCACATGAACAACAGAATAGTTTCAATCAGGAATTCAAATCAGAAGAGCAAAATCATTATGATGTATAACAAAATTATATACAAAATGAGACCTTATTTTCTAAAGCTTACCAAAGTATGTGGAGAACTGGTCAGCATTCAGGGTTGCACTCATCAAAACCAGCTTCAGATCAGGTCTGCTTGGAGGAATATGAAATGATATTAAAAGATTAAATGAAGAAATGGATGAACAAATAACGGAAAGCCTGGAATTGTTAGAAATAGAATGCTAAATGTAAGCAAAACTGCAATTGAGTGACAGAGAAAATGACAAATTTTGGGACTGATCTATTAGAGTATGTCATGTGAAATGTAAATTGTAGATATCAGAACAGTACTATGAATCTGATCATCTGACTGTTGTTGTTGTTGTTTACCCATACATCGTACCTCGTACATTTGTTATGCAATTGAATTTCATACAACAAATACTAGAATACTATATCATCAAAGAACAAAAAAGAAGAAGCTGCTAAGAACTCACCTTTTCTGTAACAGGTCCCTGACAATAATAGTAAGGAAGTCTGACAGCAGGTCTCTCTCATGAACCTCATCTAAGATCAGGTGAGACACTCCTCCAAGGTACCTGGAAGGAGGAAAGGGAATTTTAGACAAGACCAGGTAACCAGGAAGTGTCATTTCTCCTTATGGGAAGATAAAACATTCAACCATTAACCAACAAGCAAACATACATGTATACAACTATAGCTTCATATCAGAGGAGATATACATTGTATTGTGTTTCATTTTTCTTATGCCTCTAATGCTAGACCAAGTATTCCTACCAAGACACAGAAATTGTTTTGGATAGTTATTATAAAATATACTTACAATGTACTTAAGTCTAAGTAGTGAGTTAAACACAGATAATTTTTTATAATTCAAAAGTAGCTCTAAACTCACGGATCAGACAGCAGCCTTTTGAGGATGATACCAGTGGTGCAGTAGAGAATAGAGCCTTTGGGTCGGGGTAGTTTACTGTGGGGAAACAAAGTTTAACTAGAAAGGCCAACATTTGCTTCGGAGCAAATGTAGGAATTTCACTCCATACCCTTCCCCAAACAAAAATGAGAGATTCTAAATAAATCATACTGCAATTATACAAGGACAAGCTGTTTGAATCTCGACAGGTATTTACAAAACTGGCACTTGGCAATTATCTCCCTTTTTTTTTACAAAGATACAACGACACTTTAAATCTCGACAGCTTTACTTTACACTTTTGACGAGATTGTAACTACTACTAACGGAAGCAAAATTTTCACGGCCTGAGAAAAATGGACATGTTCACGGAAGTATATATTCACGGTGGTGACAGTTGCAGGAAAAAGAAAGTCCAGGAATTATTTCCTAACTGTAATGATAAGTTCACAATACAGAGGTGACAGTGAAAACCGTGAACATTGACCCCCCGCTTGCGTTGCGGTACAGGGAAAAAAAATCGGGAATTGCAGCAATCAATTTACTGAGTATGTTTGCTTAGTTTCCAGATGTTTTGTACTTGTAGTTTTTAAATGAACGAAAACCGATGCGCGCACAGATGTTACTTTTGTGACAACATCAAAGTGATTTTGGTTTGTATGTTGAAAAAATACAAAAGACTAACATTCGAAGTTATTGAAATTCTTGAGTAAGAACAATCAGTTTTGGAATGTTAAAAGCAAAGCAATGGATATTAAAACGAAGATGTTAAAATTAAATGTTGAAATTGTTAAAATGTAAAATGGTTAAAATGGTTAAAATTGTTGAAATTGTTAAAAATGTTAAAATTGTTAAAAATTGTAAAAAGGATAATTAAAAATATCCAGTGTACCGGGGTTCGAACTCGTAATGTCTGGACTTGCAGCCCTGCGCGTTACCAACCGAGCTATCTGGACACGTTTCCATTACTCCCTGCATTGTATGTCATATAAAGTGAACAACATGGCGGTAACGATCGCTTCAAGTACTAGTAAGGGACTTTCTAGGAGATACACTCTACAATTTATCAGGTTCGCTTTTGAACCACCGGTACCTTGATGTAACGTAACTATCAATCCGGCTAGCAGAAGCCGCCGGCTCCCTGTCCAATCTTTGAAAACTGTCGGGCATGCAAGCCCTCAACGCTCGCTTTAGGAAAATTTGCCAGGAAGCCGTCTTGCGATGTTCTCAGCAACAACAAATGAACGCCTGAGTGTACACTCTACAATTTTGGTGATTCTTCAGAAATCGATAACAGAATATATAATACTAGTCGGTGAAGATTGTAGGAAAATTGTTGATACCGTGGCGCGCGCGCGAGCGCTACACATTACGTACCGTTGTTTACAGTACTCGCGGGGCGCAGGTCATTGACCTCCCGCTTGCGTTGTTCCAACAGAGAAGAGCAAAATATCTGCCAGTTTTTGCGTCAGATTTTCAGTGTTTGTTAAAATCATATACAGGCATCCATGCAGCTATAATTCTTCCAAGTAGTTCGTAGTTAGGTGAAATGTTTATAGGAATCACACGAATCGGTATCCAGTATCAGAGTATCATGGCCCACGGCCGAGACCGAGACCGCGTGGACCAGCTGCGCTGGTACGTGAAAATGGTAGTAAATAAATTAATTAGCCAACAGCCAATCAACAGCCACATCTGCAAACATGACCACACCTGCTTGTATGCCCATATTTCGGGCCTTCCCCCGAATTCCTTTCTTATTACGTCACGCGCGTACGCCCCCACAGTACTTTCCTATGGGGACCACTAAAAAGCAAATAAAACGATCATTGTAAAAGCTTGTATCAAAAAAATTAAAAAAACGCCTAAGGGTATTTACCCACTCTACCTCTATACGAAATTACAGGTAATTTCGCCCAAAAATGAAGGAGTTGAATCAATTTAAAGAAGTGGCAGGAGGAGGAAGGAGAAGAAACATCAGAAAAAGCAATATGGGTTCACCACCACTTCGTGGTGTGGTGAACCCATAAATACAAAACTACGACGTATTGCGGCAAAATACTAAGTTTGGCCAGTAAAATGAGGGCAAAAATGTCTAAATGTAAATGTAACAGTTATGTCTTACCTGCCTATTTGGCGGGTATCGCCGCTGGAATGTAACCCGAACCTTTTGTTGTATTGTTGATAGCAGTTTCGCCGTAGCGGGCATAAAATATGCATATTAACACAGGGTCTTTTCATGGGAGAAATTGGCTAGCTGGATGAAAAAAGCCCTGTAGCTGTAGCTAGATCATGTTTCCACCGCTTTTACAACACTCCTTTTCGCTGGCCAAACTTGTAAACAAACATAAGAATGTGCCTACCAGGCGTAGGTGGTAGAAAATAAATCAATTAGCCATCAGCCAATCAACAGCCAGATCTACAAAAATGGCCACACCTGTTGCATGCTTGCATATGCCCATATTTGGGCCCGCCCCCGAATTCCTTTCTTATTACGTCACGCGCGTACGCCCCACAGTACTTTCCTATGGGAACAGCTAAAAACGCAAATAAAACGATTGTAAAAGCTTGTATCAAAAAAAATAAAAAAACGCCTAGGGGTATTTAACCACTCTACCTTTATAAGAAATTCCAGGTCGTTTGGCCCAAAAATGAAGGAATTGAATCAATTTAAAGAAATGGCAGAAGGAGAAGAAGAAGGAGGAGAATCATCAGTAAAAACAGTATTTCCCTCCATACTAAAGCATGGAGTGAAATAACAAGATTAGACTGTAGGGTGGACAGAAAGCTTTATACTAGTCAAAATCTGTTTTCTAGAAATAACTGCAGTCTTGTAGAAATGTAACTCAACTACATACGTGTAGCCTACATAATGCTAAATATTACCGATTTCAAATTGACATTACTAATAAGAACAAAGTTTGCATCCACTCACTTCTCCAGTCGTATCGAGTATCCAGTACTGCCCCCCTCCCCACACCTCTCTCCTCTCTCAGATGCTACTCTTTCTGCAACCTGGAAAAAAAAATCACTATACATGTAATAGGTAACAGCCATTGTCAGGTTATTTTCTCCCCTAATTGACACAAAGACTTCAATTACTATCATATTATGAGGTCAGTGTTTTAAACAAAGCTGGACCACGTGACTGCCCTTGTCAGTAGCTGAAGAAAGAGTTAAATAAAGTTTTTACACTTTTACCTTGTAAGTTATGCATATAAATCCAGACTGACCAGTTATTATGAAATTTGTTATGATGATGAAAGCTGGACCAGTACCAACTCATAACACACAATCCGTACAACATAATTTTACAGAGATACATAAGAAAACATCACATTTCCCTAGAACTGAATGCAGGCCCTTTAGTTTAAATGGTTGGTGTTGTACACATACTCACCCCAACAGCACTTATTCTCCTGGGCTGGGTACAGATCACATGACACAGTGACCCCTGACCTCTCTCTATCATGTCATCCAGGATGAACTGAGCAACCTGAAAACATTTTTTAAATGATTTTTTAGAACTGTGTATTATTATTACATTTAACGTTACCTTTACAAGCAATTTACCTTCTACGATCTTAGAAGGGCAAACATCCCCTGGGAGGAGGCGGAGACAGCGGCTGCTGACAAAAAGAAGTGGAAGCTTGCTGCCCGATGTGCCACCAGGCACAGGAGGAACTAAGGTCTAAGGTAAGGTTAAAAGCAATTGAAAAAGGTCCTTGAAGGAGGTGAAAAGTGAAAAGGGAAAATCATAACTTTAAGGAAGACATCAATTTAAGATGCCTGACCTGTGTCGTCTTGCCACATCCTGTCTCCCCACTGATGACAACCACCTGGTTCTTGTGAATCAGCTGGAGAAGTTCCTGTGTGTAAAAAAGGCAAAACACTTATTTGCATCAGCTTAAAGACTAGAACTGCCGCTTACTGAAAATAACATTAACACTTATCCAGTCTAGTACGTTTATCTACATCATGTAAACAACGGCTGAATGGTGTGTGGATAAGACAGTAAGATTGTTTTACAAACTGGGACAACATAGAACCAACCTGTCTCATGTTGTAAGATGGCAGCTTTTCTCTGAATTCCTGTAAAGACAGAAAAAATTTAATTTGGCACTGACATACATGTGAATAAAATTGGAAGTTAGCAAGCACTGTTTACTACATGTAGCAGTTACATAAAAAAACATCAGCCTCGAGCTCCTACTCTAAACATTTCTAAGAGTTCAGAAGGCTGGTATTTGCCTTAAAATTGATGGACTACAAAAACAAGCCACTGCCTAGGTGTCTTCTACACTTCCTGAAGCAGCTAATTAATAATAGCTAAAATGATTATATATAGGCTCATGTAAAGTTAGTTGAAATTTTTGGTGACAAGAACTAACTACTAGCACATGAACAAACAACCCCTTTCACCTGCATCCTCCTGTACTGGTTGTTGTTGCTCCTTGTCTGGTCCAGTTCCACCTTCAGACGTTCATCCAGTGCCTCATCCCTGTTCTGTACAGGCAGGACAGCATCAGGACTAGCACAAGACTCCTTAGGATCACCCCAAGACGTCTCAGAGGCCCAAGACTCCTTCTCAGAGTCTTGAGGGTTTCTACCTGTTGGTGGCGCACTTGAGGAGTTCCGACCGCTGCTGTCAAATCTTTGTGAAGATGACCCTGTATAGAAACACAAAAAAATGATTTCACTGACCTTCCACCATCTTGAATTTGGAGGTCAGAAGATATATGTCTATGGATAAACTTGATTTAAAAAAAAATAAAATATGATGATGTGCAAAATAAACACAGCTCAGTTAACAATTCTATAAAATCAAAATTATAATAAACCTAATTTTCACATTAAAAGTGGTCATTAAAAGTGTTTGATTACATAAGGTAAGCTGGAGAGAAAAATACCAAAAGAAAAACATGAATTTTCACTAAATTGCAACTGAGGGAAATATAACTACCTGATCCTGAGTTATCTGCACCGTCCTGTTCAAACCAGTCCTGACCAGTTCTGACTGGTTGTTGGCTTGCCGCAGAGTCGTCCCTCCACCTGTCCCCAGGTGTATCATCTCGCCGCAGGTGTGTTAACAGCTGGGACAGGTGCTGTTCCTGACTATGGTCCATCTGAACCACCGAACGCTACAACAGTTGCAGAAAATTATTCATCTTGTTTGTTATTAGATAAAGGAATAAAAATACAAAAACACAACAAGCTTTACAGCACATCTTCAGTCTCTAGACTGCATCACATTCAAATGGGAAGCTTTTAGGCTTTATATTGTTGCTGAGTGTGTGGATGAAATGACAAAACTCTCAAGATTTAAATGCTATTTCATACTTCTGCATCAGCTTTGATAGTATAAATTATTTATTTATTGATCTTGGGCACATTTGGCTAGTCTCTTCAGATAAAAGGGGCTGAATTCCAAGAGAAGCCATGAAAAACAGAAGAATAAAACTAAGTTTTTTCCAGTCTATAAAATTGCGACAGTCACTGCTCACCTCTCTCTTCTCCCTGTCTTTGCTTTTTCTGGCGTAGAACAGTCCGATGTCCTTCCCTCTCAGGCCGGAGGGATGTCCCCTCCCCCTCCCTCCCCTACCCCCTCTCCCACCACCCCAGCCTCCAGATCCACCTGTAGGAAAAAGTCAAGGATGTATTATTATATTATTGTTCAAGTTTTCCATTGTGCAATTCAATAGTCAATAGCAGATAATGCTCCACAAGACTGGTTTGTTTGCACACTAGTGGAAAAAGACTGCCCAAACTTTTGGAACCATGCCAGTAGCCAGGATTTTGGCTGGGGGGTTCTAATCCTACTGTCCTAGGGGCCCAGGGATCCCCTAAAAGACTTGAAGGAAACGGAGCAAAAACAGTCTGTTTTCCTTCGGTCAGAACATAATTCTTCTTCTTCTTCTTTGGCAGTTCAGTCTATGATAGACTATCTGGGCGCCTCTGGTGACCTCTCATGTGGCTTGAAAGTCTGGCCTTCGTTTTGCAGACCCTGCTGCATACTCCACATGTGTGATGTGTGGTTAAAGGTGCAGTTTGTGCTGCAGCCTTTTGCAGTCTCCGTAATTACAGACAAACAAACAAACCCCTGGTACCTGATGAGAAGCTCCTCTCTTCCCCACCTGACCAGTGTGACCTGGATGACCCCTGGTGATGACCTCTCCAGCCACGATGACCACCACCACGACCTCGCCGACCGTGACCTCCCCTCTGACCTCCGTAACCTCCATATCCTTCCGCCATGACTGTCCTGGTAGAGACACAGTGAACCCACACATGGCATTTGGCACAAATTATAGCAAGGCATTTTAAAATAAGGTTTTACATGTATGTATAGACTATAGTAGCAAGAAGGTCAAGATGATTTTAAACCTCCTTGATAGTAGTTAAACCTTGGATATCCACTCATTCTCGGCCATTTTGATATATAAGAAAACTTCAGACAAATCTTTAGTCTCTAGGCCTGTCTTGTGCATCCTACTATCTTTTACTCGACGTAAAATCTGTACATCTAGCAATAAAAAAAAACTGTAGTCACAGTAGGTAGTATAATCTGAGTGGGAGGGGGGCATCATAATTTTTGGAGGAACAAAGCAAAAAAGTGACCCGATCACTGCTTCATTCAAAACGGATAGACCACAGAAATAGACTTACCCTCTACAGTTTGCCGACTTCGCTAAGATGTCTCGGAAAAGTCCCTTTGAGTAATTGTAGAGTCTTGAAGCTGAAGAAACTGAAGCTGTGTTCATCACATGTCAAATTTCGCCCAAGCCGTTTTGCTCTTCCTTCTGTAACTACAATATCTGAGTGCTGCTGTTTCCTTTGCTAACTTGAACTCTTAGAATGTGTGTATAGTAGTGTTATCTAATAAAAGGATTCTTGACAGATTGATTGTACGAAATAAAATCGACGTTTTTATCTTTTATACGCGAGAAACGTGTAAACTTTCGATAGACTCATCATAGAGACTGTTTCGTACCGTCCCACAATGCACCACGAGAAACCGGAAGTAGCTGGTTTCTGCAGTGCGGGACGTTTTGAACAAATTTGGTAAAAAAAATCGTCCTGGAAAAATGGTGAGTTTGTTGTAACTGTCATTGTGTGAAATAGAACTGTGTCTAATGCTCCAAAGAATGTATTGGAGTTGAAAAAATAGGTTTAGCGTTTTTAGTGAAATTTTATTTGGCGGTTTCGTGTTGTTATGAATTTGGATGGGGGAGGGGGGCGTCAGAGAAGTCCGCCGTCCGCATGGCGAAAACGTAACAACAACGTAACGTTAGTAACGTAACACGTCTAGAAGAAAGTTTTGGTGGACAAAATGCATGCTTAGTGTAGCCTCAGGTCAACAAGTGAGCTACAAATGTGCACACAATTCACTTTTATATGGAAATTATAGCCCGTACACAGTTATATAATCCATAACGTTAGTACCGTGTTTTTGTCAAATTAAGGTTTTGATATTTTTTAAATTCTTCCTGAACCTGTTTTACTATCAAATGCTAATGAAATGATTTGCTTACTGTTTTATTCCTGTTCTACAGCTACCTCTATCATTGCTGAAAACTGCTCAGAACCACCCCATGGTAAGTTATTAAATAACATATTAAGATTAAATAACATATTAAGATTTTCAATGTCAGTCATTCTGTGTCTGTGATTTTCACCATCATTGTCTTTGCCTTGATGTGAACATTTTTTTTTTATTAATAGCTGGTGGAGCTGAAGAATGGTGAGACGTATAACGGCCATCTGGAGGCCTGTGATAACTGGATGAACATCAAACTCAGGGACGTCATCTGTACCTCACGGGTAGGTTAACTTACAACTCAGCTGCAAGCAGATATTTGCAGTCGTCAAACACACTCGTAGTCATACACACACACAAATACACACACACACACATGAATACACACACGCACACATGAATATACACACACAAATACACACACACACACACACACACACACATTAATACAATATACACACACAAATACACATACAAATACACACGCACAAGCCCACGCAAATACACACACACTAATACACATTGTATTCATACACAAACACACACACACACACAGATACACATGAGTACACCTCTAACTCAGCTCCTTTTTTCCCATCAGGATGGTGATCGTTTCTGGCGTATGCCTGAGTGTTACATCCGTGGCAGCACCATCAAGTACCTACGTATTCCTGATGAGGTCATCGACATGGTGAAGGAGGACATCGTCAGTAAACAGCGCACCAAACAGCAGGGCACCAGGGGCAGGGGACGTGGGGGGCCGGTACACAGAGGTTAGTATGGAATGGCGTTTGTTTCAAAATCTCCTTCTCGCTGCCAGGGCTAGGGGCTGATTGGGTATCCTTCTTAAGCTTAAAGAGCCCTTGGCCAAATACCTCTAACATGAGAGAACCATTCCCTGAACTACCAATAGGAACTCAGGATTCTTCATCTAGATTAGTCTAACAGGAGTTTAAGATTCTCTGTCACTGTGGAAACCACTATGGTTACAGACAATCTGACAATAATTGGTACACATCATACATGCATATTATTAGTCAACAGGATTAGTAGTAGAACTTGTAGTGGAAGGGCTGCTAGGAAGTTGATGTAGTCGGGCTAGTCTAAACAGTCATATGTAGTCAAAGCTTTTGCATTTTCTACTTTCATGTACTACATGCAGATAAAAGTAACTAAAGAAGTTTTTTAACTGTGGCATTTGACTCTTGCAGGAGGTTTTGGCAGCAGAGGCCGTGGTGGACCAGACAAGAGAGGAGGGAGAGGAGGACCCAGATAGATGATGTTATCTTCATCTTTCTGTTCTTCTACTTCAGTCTTACATCATGATAGATGAACAAAGAGTAGACATGTCACAACTACTTAAGCCTAGTGTTAGGGACGTGACCTGACTTTTTTTTTCATATTATGTAGAAGTAATAACTTAAAGATACTTTAATTTTGTGCTTGTCAAAATGCAGAAAAGAATTTATGACGTATTGGAAAATACCTGCAGTCAATTTCACTTTATGTTTAGTACAAAGTTTGTGACATGCTTTATTTGAGTGACCTGAGGTGGGAGATATTTATTTTGAATCCCAACCTGTCTACTCTGGAAGTCTCTCAAAGCTCATGACTGTGTATCTGTGGTATCTGATACCAGATCAGAAATAAAGAACTTCAACAACTTGGACAGGCGTGTTTGCTAGTGTTGGTTACTTTGTGGTGTGGATGTGGACAAAATATTGCCCTTCATTCTTTAATATGATGATGTCCATGCACTGTCTTTTCAAAGGACCTTGATTTCAGTCAGATTTCATCCATTTACATAGCTGCCAAGGCACCAACATACACATACATGCATGCACGTGTGTACATGCACTCTCACACACTCCTGCAAACACAACACAGGCAAACAAGACAAAAGGCACACACCAAACACTGTGCTTAGGGATTTATTTTACATGATACATTTTTACGTTATGTCAGAGGCATCTTGTCAGATAGGCTATAATACATGTAGCATCTTTTTATGTGCGATCCAAAATATGCCCTGAAATTACACAATATTTCTGTAGGCAACTACAGATAAATTAAAACCTTTAAGCAGAGTTCAAGAAGATTTTTACACATAGAGCAATGTACAGGAGGGGGATGTAAGGCCACACCAACCTAATTTGCTGATTCTCGGACTGACAAATATAAATACTGAACAGCAGAATCAACTTATGGTTTAGACTCTATATAATACCTTGGTACATATAGATTTAGAGATTAAAATGTAGTCTATGGCTCGGAATACCACCTGCGTAATATACATGTACATTTTGTACTAGTTTATTATGCAGGTGCACTGGTCCATATTAACCTGCACTGGTACGTCCAGGTTTAAATATACAACTAGATGTAAGTGGTTTTTCTTTGCTGCACTAAAAGAAGATGAACTTTAAAGAAATAATGGTACCGGTAAAGGTTTCTGATGGTTAGTATCATTCCACCTAACACTTTCGAAATTCTGTGTGGTGCAGGTACATGTACCTAATACAGTCAAACCTGCCTATAGTGGTCACTCAAGGGACTGGCCAAATTTGACCACTATGGCCAGGTGACCACTATAGAGAAACAGCCGGTTAGTTGACCCCCCCCCCCAAAAAAAGGGACACATGCTTTGAGTACCAACAGTGATGTCTTTATTCTGAAACATATGAATACATACATTTGCAAAGGTAAACCCCTTTTATATGTACATGTGTTAGTTCAATAATTTGTTGTTCTTTTGCTTTAGTTGTACTTTATTTTGTACTTGCTTGAAAAAAAAAGAAATACAGAAATATTGCATGGAAACATTAAATCAAAGATACATGATACACTCAACATATTCAGTTAATCTATTCTGGGACAATGAAACCATTCACATAATTTAAAACATACAAAATCACTGGTTGTCATTTACTGTTCTTGTGTACATACTAGTACTACATGTGGCTAAAGAAAAGAAAGCAAAGCAAGCAACAAACTTTCAACTCCAAACAAATTTCTATCGACTGCAAAATCATTTAATCTAAGCTCAGCTTTCGACGATTTCTTCTCACTCTCTCTGCCAGTCGAATCACTTCCACCTTTTGGAATAAGTTTGGCGTCCGTCTTTCCGCTTTCGCCATCGTTTCTCCGCAATCGTCACACCCTCCGCCACGTTACTAGTAGTTGTTGTTGTTAGTCGAAAAGTGGAAGAGAACGACATCGCCATGTTTTTGTTCTTTGGTGAACACTTGCTTCGCGCGACCGACATACGCCACAGCGAATTCCAACCACGTAAATAAGTTATTTTGTACCAAGATGCTGTCTATTTAGTTAACAGCAAAATAATTGTTCGTCAGTTGCCAGTTACTTTCCGTTTTTGGTCGTTTTTGAACATGAAAACTTAGCGAAAACTCTCCTTTGTTTACGGCTTGGGTTTCTCCCCGCGTGGGTTGTCTGCCTCTACCATTATGCCAATGTGGTAGTCAACAGAAAATTTTCAGAAAATTTTCAGAAAATTTACATCTAAAATTAATTGTAGTAATGTATTTCAAATGTTTTCATAATGTAATTACGTCATTTGACGCTAATGAAGTTAAATAAAACTCAGTGTATCTACCTCCATAACAGTGGAGTCTTCCGATGACCCCAATTGACCTCCCTCTGCAGCTAACACATGCGCCATCTTGGAAAAATACGAAACGCATTTTCGAGCCAAATTTCTTTAATTATGCCCATGAAAAACGGAAGCTATGCACATATCTACGCATTTCAAGGAATCGAGAAACCAAATATGGATATTCTTAAGTTTTTTTGTAAAGATAATTTGCCGTAATCTTCGCCGAGCGGCCGAGTCCATTGAAAGCTCCATGCGGCACGCACGGCACAGATATCAAAGACACCCGCGACCGCAGAAACTTCGTGTCAAAAGTCAGTTTTCCTTTATTTCATACACATATGGAGTCTAATTTTCAGTTCACATTTTAGTAATGTAGCGATCGGAAAATTATCACAAGGCTCATAACGGTCGTAGCCCGAGGTGGGGTGGTGTTACGGCCGTGGTGCTTAGCGGGTTACGGCCAGCCGCGACCGCTATCGGCGGTGTTGACATGGCGGCGGGACCGGAATGGGGTGACCGCTGACCGCGTTGAACAGTGACCGCTATAGACACGATTCTTAATGCTTACGTCAATGGGAAAAATTCAAGGGACCGGCAAAAACTGACCGCTATGGCCGAGTGACCACTATACAAAGGTGACCGCTAGTACAGGTTTGACTGTAGTGTAATTTCAACTGTTACCTGCACCAGTGCAGGCAAGCAGAAAAATATTTTGAGCCCTGTACAGTGTAGTCAGATTAAAAGTTTCCTCCCATCCCCCTAAATTTTTACTAGATGTCTGAGAAGAAAGTTTACTAAATAAACTGGTGTAACCTTAAGAGCAACTTCCACCACCAGTACTAGCTGTTACTGTCAACTCCAGGCACTGGTAAATGGCATAATTAAGAAAAAATTAAGTAATCTTTGATTAAGATTGGAGAGAATTTTATCGTCCCGTAAATCTTTTTAAAATTACGTGTTGAGCTAAAATGGTAGCCTCTACCAGGCTTCAGAGGTGGCTGGAAAGAGTATAAAATGGCCAAACAGAAAGATAACATACCAGGGGAGTTTATCTGCTGAATGCCTTTAGTGGACCAACTTCCAGGTACTTCTGAAGCCTGGTAAAGGCTACTAAAATGGTGCAACAATTCTGTGGAATGGTTTCCTGATGTACATGAATGCTTCAAGCATTGGTGCAGGTACACCTACATGTACATGTAGTGCAACACAATTCTAATGGTATTACATACAATTAAGCTGGACTTCTAACATAATATATAAATGTATGAATTATGACTGTGTATAAACAAATGCCCTGCCCGCAATGCATAACAATGTTACACCATATCAACAGACATTAAGAGACCATCATACTTACACATTACAGTATAACACTAATTATATGCAGAATTCCACATAGACTGGCAAGGAACAAATCATTACGCCCAGTCTTCTTTCAAGTCTATTTAGCGTCAATATAATACATTCATGAATTTCATGTCCAAGAAGGTTGTAAGACTAAGCACGGTGGTAAAATCTGGGCTGCAAAGTTCCCACATGTCATAGAACCCGAACTGTGTTCGATCGTGTTCGAACTGGGCAATTCGAATCGAACCCGCGTTCTATTTCGGGGTCACCTGCGGTCATTTACAATAAAGCGGCAAAAGAAGCCTTTCTGCCTCCGTGCCTTGCAAAAGATAAAAAACAACACTTTTCTATAGATACAAACAGTTTCCTGGACGATACATGTCCGCTATCATTTTTTGTGGATCTGTAACATGTAGCGAATCTACTGTCGTATCCTTGGGTGACCTTGAATACTGTAATGATTCTTTACACCAGTATGAATAACACAATGCAGACTTTTGGTCGACATGACATGTCTGCAAAACTCGTTTTAACCTGCAAGCATTGAGAGTCAAGCATACCCCATTCAGAGCTCAAAATGACCGTTACGGTTGTCCCGAAAATCGTGTTTTAGGGATTTTTGAAAAATGGCCTCAATTTTGAATTATGGGTAATTTAGTGCGAAAAATGTAAAAAAAATCATTTTTTCACCAATATGTCGACAAGAACTAGACTTCAAATCAGAAATTAAAAAATCCCTAAAACACGATTTTTGATCTTATTCCTAGTCGTCGAAAAATATAAAAATCGGAGATCTTGGGTGATATACGTAGCCAGGTTAAAACGATGTTTGCCTAAAAACATGACATGACTTGTGGTCGAAAACCCGAAAAAATCGTCTTTCGGAGCGAAATTTTGAAAAATCAATGATTTAACATAAACAGCTAATATTAAAAGGATGTTAAGGCAATAATTTCATTTTAATTTGACGAAATTTACCATTAAATCCTTTTTGTTTATTTTCAAGTGTTTTACTGGTAGTCCAAAATAGGCCAAAATAGCGTCTTGTAACCCGATACCTTTTAGAACGCGCCTAGCAATGGGAAAGAATACCGTAGTGACAGACCGCCGTGAAGATACTGTCCTGAAGGCACCTGCAGACTGATGAGAAGGGATATGTTGAGTCTAAAATTAAAATTCTTTTAAATATCTAGCATGTTTTGAAAGATACATGTAACTATTGATAGACTCTGGGTAGAGAATGTATTTCAGACACTATTATCAGAGCTGGAAATACCACCTGCATATGCAGATTAGTGTGGATAAAATTGGAGCTGAGCAGGTATTTCTGATGTCCACCTGTACTGGTCCATATAATGGGTTTATATCTATACATGAATTTTCATAAGACTGTATTATCTGGTATCACCTACATTTTGAATGATGTGTAAAAGAAATACTGTCAGTGGTTTCTGAACAGTTTTAGTATGATCCATACTTCCTAAATTCTAAGTGGTGCAGGGGACAAATTTGTCTGGTGTAGGTAATTTTCAACGTTACATCGGTAAAGGTTAGACATCCAGGTAATAAAGTACACCAAAAACAGTTACTCAAGCAACTGGATATGATTTTTAATGTTACCTGCACCAATGCAGGTATGCAGAAAAAAGCTTATTTTCCAGCCCTGATAATGTATGTCTTACAGAGAAACAACTGATGTTTAGAATAGCCATTTTGTCGTCCCGTCCAATCCCCCGTCAGTGAGTCTTCAGGTCTGGTCGGGTGCGTCTGTCCTGTCATCTGCTCTCATCAGTCGGGACGGGTTGTTTGAAGCCAGCTGGGAAAAGTCCTTAAAGACGTCTGAGAAAGTCTCATCACCTGAAGGAAGTAACAAGAAGAAAAATTAAGGACTTTCAAAACTACAGTATTTTCCCCCCACTTCACCACACAAAAGAACAGTTGTGTAACACAATTTGCACTTTTGATAGTGTCATTTCTACATTCTTATAACTACATGTATCAATGATTCAATGTGTACAATGCTACCACTTGTAAAGAGAAATTCCTTGATAAAATTGATAAAAAAACAGTACATGTACCAGTACATGTTATGATACTTAATAAACTTTCCCCAGCTAAGGTAGCCATTTGGCAGCAACTGTGCATTTTGCTACAACTAACTTAAAGGTTACCTAAAAACTTACTAACTACAAAATTACTAGTACAGTACTTACCAGGGTTGCCATAACCCTCTGACTCTCTCATTTCTTCATTCATTCTGGCAAGTCTTAATCTGGGGACAAAGTAGAAGTTTCAGTACAGGAGGAAGGGAAATTTCACTGCTGCAAACTTTCAAAGGATTACAAGAATGTTGTGATGAAGACATGGATACTTACAGGGTGACAATATCAGCATTAGTGGTACTGAGTGCAATGGCCAGGGGGTCCTGAAAATACAAAAGATATCTTGCATGTATCAACAAACAATCTACTTGCAATAATATTCATGGCATATGAACATGAACTTAAGTTGATATTTTCATGGTAGAAACTCTCCTGACAATATCAAAGTTTTTTACTCCACCATGTTTGTAAAATTGGTGTTACGCTGAAGGGCAGTTATACCAACTATACAGATGCAGCAAATTGGGTCACTGCAACAAAAATGTTACCAGAAGATTCTGCAACAGTACTGGTTTTCTAAAAGTATCAGAAATATCTCACCTGACCATCCTCATCTACAGCATGTTGGTTTGCTCCTCTCTTCAGGAATAAACACACTTGTCTGGAACCAGAAAATGTTTAAACAATTAGATGTAGCTTGTACTTTAAAGAGTCTATGCAAAGTATTCTTGTACATGTTTTAGTGGCAGTTTACTGTTTTGTAACGTTACGTTAAAGGCCTGACAGGGACAATAGGTTGTAAATCCACTGTGTCTAGGACATGGTATCTTCTTTTGCCACCTTGTACCTCCCTAACTGAACTTAGGTACATATTTTAGAGTTTGATGTTAGGAAGAGCATCCAGTCAGTAAAAACCTTGCTTCAAAAAAAAGTCTTGCACAGGCTTGCTGTTGTGCACCTCAGCATGCTGAGGGGCAAAATGACAAGCCCAAACATGCACCTGTGCAAGCACGTCTATACCCCCGATTTGGGGAATCAATGGACGTAAAACTCGGATAAGAAGAAGAAGATTTTACACCTGGATGGAGTGAGGAAAGTCATATAGAGTGCCTTTCACAAGGACAAAGGGTCAAGCCAGGGATACAAGGGATCAAACCAATGACCTCTGGTTTCCATGTCTGCTACATTGTAGCTTAGCCACTGCACCATTTGACACTACTACTTGAAAAATCAACTCTTAAGAAAATGCTAAACTGACAACACTGAAAGCCAGTAATACTTGCTGGCCAGGCTATATTTTTTGCAGTGCTAATAAGTTGATAGCATATTCAGCACCAAGGACATAGCCGGTAGATGTAAGTTCTTACCCAGTGTTGCCCAGGATAGTTGCATGGTGAAGTGGTGCTCTCCCCTCGCCATCCTTCACGTCGATCTTAGCACCATTCAGGAGGAGAAACTCACATGCTCCTATAGAACCCTGAACACAGAGAAAAGTTGTTAAAAAACCTATGAAAACATCACCTTTCAAATGTCAAAAGTACTACCAGCTGAAGAGCTAATGTTTATAGGTTTGAGGATGTAAAGTTTCACGTTTCATGTAAATTTGTAGGATTTCTGTGATACATGTATTTTGGACTTGAACTTTTTCTTGAGATAGGACATTTCTACGCAGTAAATAGGCTTTAGAGAAAGAAAGAAACTCTCTAAGAAAGAAACGATTGAACTTTGGTAAGAACCACATTAGGAACCACAGATTGTGAGAAAATAGAAACAATCATAATGGAAACTACATGTATGATGCAACCTTGACCAAAGTTCCTTGGTACTTACAGACTCCACAGCCTGGTGCAGAGGTGTCTTGTTTGTGTCCTGTGTGTTAACCCAGTTCACATCAGCACCATGTGCCAGGGCTGCTGACAGCACAGGGAGATTTCCTGGGGAAACAAAGTACAAATGTTAGTATATAATATTTTCCCAACCAGTGAGAACACCTTGCCAGTTGAGAATAGTGCAAGAAACTGCCAGTAGAACTAGGCATTCAGAGATGGCAGACTTTTTACAGCTGAGTCATGAGTTGATGACATGTTCAGCACCAAGGACAGGGCTGAAGGACCAGTCACATTTAGACAAATCTAAATTAGAGCAGTTGTAACAAGAAGTCAGGTTACTAGTCTATAGTCTGTTTGCAACTTACACTTTACAAATGTTACGGCTCTGACTGTCTACTTAGTCTGTCATTTTTTATTTTCAGAATTATGTAAATTCTGCATTTAGATCTAACCGTTACATTAAGCTCAAGTATACCTGTCAGCATGTAGTAACAGTCGTCCTCTCCATAAGAACTACCACTGCCTATGAGGCCACTTTTTGGTCCACTATGACTATTTTCGTCAAATCGTTTGCATGGATACTATAAGCCCTGTTTTGACTGTAACAGTAACAGTTTTTTCGCCATTGGCCCAAGCATCAAGAATCCTGTCTATAGTGACCACCTGTCTACTGTAACTATTCTCTTCAAGTCTCTTTGGTGTTTAGGCTGATGAGAACACCCACCTGCTGACGCTGCCTTGTACAGCAGCATGTTAGGGTCCAGCTGACTGAGTTCTAACACCTCCGTCATGTCAGCAGACCTCCTGGTGGGGATGTTACAGTCTTCAGACACGTCTCCTACTGAACCTACAGGAGACAAACAGCTCAACATGGTTAGCTCAAGGAACAATAGTGAGCTTGAAGGTGGTAAGGAACTTGTTAAGAATTTGTTATTGATATCAGAATCAGTGTTCCAGCCAGGGACTATCTTTCCCTCATTTGATGGAATTGATACTCGTGACGGACAAAATGTTTTGCCCAATTAATCATCTATCTTTGGCGGACAAAAATTGCAAAGATATAGAAAGAGATGTCATTAAACTAAACTTGGTCTTCCCACAAAATTTGTCCTCGACATTCAGATAAAAGGGTTTAATTCAGACTCAGAGGCTCAAAATTTTCCCACTGGAAGCATGACGTTACGTCACACAAGGTTGAGATGCCAAAAAAAGTTCAGGCTGGCTAGAACACTGATCAGAATGTCAGCTAGTTGTGAGTTGGAGGTCATTGTCAAGGGGGAGGGTAGATGCTGGAAATGAGGGGAAGGGCAGGCTCAAGCACTGGAACCTTTTAAACTTATCATTTTGTTTCTTGAAATCTACTACATTCCAAAACAGAGGTGCAACACACCTTTGCAAGTCGCTATATCTTGGGGAATATTTTTCATACACCAAATTAAATGCAAAGATTTTCAAGCATACATTACATTCATGAAGTCAAGATACCGCAGAACCAAAAGAACATTTGCATTCTTCAAAAACCCATTATTTTTGTTTATTTATTATGTCCTGCCACATTCATGTTCATGACAACCATTGGCCATGTTATACATGTGTACTTATAGTGCATGTATAGCATATTCATGATCACATGCTCATTTTATAGCCTTTCAAACAAGCAGTTATGAAGACTTTATAACAACTCTATGTATTCCAGTGGGTTGGGGTTGGCTAGGAGCAAAGTCTTTGAGGGGAGGGGGGCAGTGTAGTTATGATGACCTTCATGCCAAAGGTCAAGGTCAAATCAACATAAAACCAGGAACCTGCTGCATAAAGCCACCATATTCAGCATAAAGTATTCATGAGGTTACTGTTATTTAATATGTTATTAACTTAATCATGTTATAATTAAATCAAATTGAATTTTAATTTACAAAAGTCTGATACCAATATTTATGTCATAGATGTATATTATGTTGATTTTTTTCTATCATATCTGAACTATTTTCATTATGACATTTAGGACTAAATTCTATGTTGGGAAACTAAACAATGCCACACAAACATGATTTTATGAATGACATTTTTTTAGAGGGAGGCCTAAAACACATAATGATGTATAAAATTATGTGTCCTTCAAAAAACCATGTTTGTGTGGCTTTGATAAATTAAAAAAAAAAAAAAGACTGTCATGTGTAAAGTATTAGTCCTTAGCATGGCCGGGCACCAGGCAGGGTTTTTGTTAATGAGTCAGTTCCAACCTTCCGCACACCAGAAGCGAGGGGAGTCAAGTAGAAACGGGCCGTGTTTTTTTACCTCTGAGGAAGGGAAATTCTTCCAGGATGTCAGGAACAATCAGAATGTGGGGGACGCTAAGAGGGGGTCTATCCTCCTCCAGGTCTAGAAGGGGTCAGAATATCACAGCAGGAAAAGTTGAATTCCCATGGAGAAATATTACAACAGAGTGGTTTGTTATCGTCTCCAAGTCTGTAGGAGAGTTGTATATGTCCACAGGAAAAGTTGAAATGTACAATCATGTAGAATGTTAACAGAGTGGTTTATCCCATCCCATAGCATCATAAGGCATAGGAACCAAATGTTGTGTTTCCTGTTTCCCAACCGACCCTAGAAAAAACTACCAACCCTAGCCTTTAAGTGGACCCCTGCAAGGGACATATTTTTTTTAGCTAATTGACCATTTCCAGCTCCATGATCTGACATCTGAGTGATGTGCAATTGGTTTTCCAACATTGACATTGAAAATATGTGTCCCTATGCAAGTTTAACTTTTAAATTGGATCACTAGAGATCGCTAAAGTCTAATAAAAAAGATAATCCCTATCTACCAACCCTAATTTTTTCAGGACTGAAACTACAGGAAACACAACATTTTTTCCCAAGCCTAAGTTGAACTCTTTGTTTCTGTCCTCAGTTAGTTCATAAACTAATGCTAAAATTTCTGGACCAGCAGTTGTTACATGCTGCTTTCTCACAGGCACAGATACATCTTTAGTGGATGGCAAGCAAGTTTTTTTTTGTTTTTTCTTGTAGATCTTACATTCTCTAAGGAAAAGGGATAGATGGAAATTAAGTTGTTGAAAAGAAGAATCAAGACTGTCTTCAAATTACTAAGTAGCTCGGTCACCACTGGCAAGTCTAGGTAAGAACTTGCATCATGTTAAGGTTTAATGTTTTTATACCTGAGTCTTCCTCTGAGTCTTCTTCTCCAAACACTAAGATGTCTTCTGCTTCTTCAACTCCACTGTCAGATCTGGCACCTGGGGAAGACAGAAAAAATGGTGTCATATAGAAATGATCCTTACGAACAGCCCTTGACATTTCATTCAGGAGTCACATGACTAACAGCCAACTGTATGGCAACATAACTAGGATTTCAACGATCATTAATCGCCATAAGCTGTCGTTGGCAGGAAATGTTATCGCCGCCACAAGGAAATGGTGGGTCTGGTTCACACCCTTCTCTAACTCTGAAGAGGACACAGGTCTAGAGGGTCATTATGAACAAGATTAACTGTGATTCAACCTTGTTCATAATGACCTCTACCAACACAGATGAAGTTTCAAGCCTCTAGAGGGTGATGAACTGTGCTCAGTCATGCAAGACAGGAACTTGTGGACACTTCATGGCGTCACCTTAAAAAGGATGAACTGAGCTGAACTCATGGACAAACTAAACAAGAATCTGCCCCACCTGAGTGAAGAGACCCACTAGACATGTAACATGAATCTGCCCCACCTGAGTGAAGAGACCCGCTAGACGTGGACCTGCTGACAGCCTCCCCCTCCTCCTCCCCTGAATGGACAGATTTGAACCTCTCCGGAAACTTCTTCACGCTCCATCTCCGGATCACACGCTTACGACCCCGCGCCGGCGACGCGCCGTCAGCGATCACACGACCTGGTAGAGGCTTCAGGAAGTCTTTCTTCACGTACTTGGACTTGATCCACGATTCTCTTATCGATCTGTGAGGAAATTTACAATAAAAATTTCGAGCAAAACCCTCTGGAACAAGAGCCAGTGATGTGCTCCACTCAAATCACTTATGGATTCTAACATTTTATTCACATTTTGTAGCATTGTTTGTGATAGTGATGTCATTTCACCATTGCATCACTGTGGTGCATTAAAATTTTCTTTTGAAGTAACAATGTCACTCCAAAACCATTACTAAAAGCTTGAGAGGAGCTGGAAAACATAACTGTATATCCTGAAACTTTGAAACTTTATTTGACCCTGGGGTCCACCGCTAGTCTTCCTGGCATTCATTCATACATACAATACATATATACATACATAGTTAACAGAGTCACAAAACAACATCTAAATCTATAACATAGTTACAATATACAATTATTTAAAAAAACAGACAAACAATCCTGAAGACATTAACCCCTAGAGTATTTAATCATTTCATGAGCGTCTACAACAGCTGAAGGCAATACAACCACAATACTGTACCTAGGACAGTCTGGATACGCCCGCCTGTCTGCACACTCACTAGTGTTGGCCTCATAAGTTTTGTTAACAGCTTCATTCCCCAGTAGTGACATGACCTGTGAAGTATACATAGAATACATGAGAATATTACTGGTTATCTGTTCAAAATTGATCCTTAGAACTACATACATTCAGAAAATTATAATGTGCAGTTTTTCCACCCATTACCATGAACAAAAACTGTAAACAAAATAAACGCATGTTTACCCCAAGGATTTCAGGCTCCCAGGCATCCAGAGTCAACGATCTCACTTTGGACAGGTGCACTCCTAATGATCTGAAACACAAAGGGGGAAAACTATATATTACTCAAAGTAAAATACATGCAATTTAATAAAGGCAATGATTTTTTTTAATTCTGTCTAGTAAGTAGTAGTAGTCTAAAGCAACAATTGCACTGTTACTCTATCAGTAGTGTACACTTGGAATTTACCATAATCTTGTTTCTTTTTCTATCTAATCAGATATAATTTTCTCATGAAGGAACAACAAAGATATGATCAACAAACGTGGTGTGTAAAGTTTATTATCTACTGACCTGTGAATGCCAGAACACTCTATACACAGGACAATACCCAGGTTGATACTGGCCCACCTGGGCTCTGAAACAAACAAGTAACATTCAGACAAGTGTGATGAAAATATTAGCACTGAATGATGTTATAATAATAAAAATGCTTTACATGTATATACCTAGGAAAATCAATATAAATAAACAAGTGTGTTATAATTTTGAAATTTCCCTCCCACCTTTTTGTCTACAGTCACAACACACACTGTTCCCTGGAATCTGAAGAACTTGTCTCAACATCCTGTCAGAAAAAAACAACACAAACTTAACACATGTATACTGTATAGTTGTGCAACATTTTATCCTGTCAAATTGAATGAATATTGAAGTCATACCAACTGAGGTTTCTACCTAACAGTATAACCAGGATTTGAGCCCTGAACCATGTGATCCAAAACCAGGCACACCACTCAACTGCTATATCATACTGCTATCACTTACTAATTCCTTACAGACATACATGTCACATGACTGAACAATAATTTCGAAGAACACTGTGAGTGATAGAAAGTCCACTGCTACCACAATGTGACTCCATTGACTTCCTGTGAGGAAGTCAATCAAGGACACTTTAACTCACGTGTTCTTTGGCTTGGCATCAGACTTGACAGGTGGTAAGGAGTTGAGCATGGAAGGGACGGTAGAGGGAACGCCTGGACTTCTGGAGTCGTCTTGGAGACCTTCCTATAAAGTCAGAAGAAAAGGAAATACTTCAGTCAAGAACTGACAAGAAAATAAACATTTCCTGCAGACTTTTGAGTGACAAAACAGCAAGAGATGACAACAAACAATCATTACCTGAAAATTCTCTTCTCTGTGACCTTCTCTAAATGCAGTTGCAATGCTGGCCTGTGAAGAAAAAGAGAAAGACATTTTAGAAACAATCATCATTTTGACAGTTACTGTTAGTAGTTTAATATTTGAATACTATATCATTATCATTGCCAGAGTGTTAATAAAAAAGAGAAAAAGAAAATAAGTCTCTTAGAACTGTTAATAACAAAACAAAACCAAATACTTTTTGTTGATTTAGAACATTATTTGCCACAAAACACTTACCTGTAGAGCCTGTATCCAGACTTTTCTCTGGTTATCTGACTCTGCTTGTAATGTGTAGCTCCTGAGGAAAGGAAAAAAAATAAATTCAGTCCTACAAAATTTTAATTACAAGAGTCTCTGACGATCTCAATTGTTTCCTCAAAGCAATAGCAGTAGAATAATTGTATGGGCTATATTCAAGGAATATCAACATAACAAGACTAATGACACAATGCTTACTTGGTGGGAGAAACGATCTCGAAACAGAAGTTTCTCTCGATCTCCTCAGCAGGTTTGACTGTGCATATTCTCAGGTCTGGGACAACCACTGTGGTCTCATCTGGATAGGACGACTGGGGAACAAAATATCTTTATTTAGTTTTTGCTGTTCTAACAATGCTGTCTACTTTAAAGTTTAATTTGCATTTTGTATCTATGGTGTTGTAGTGTTTACATTCAAAGAAGACTCAAACAACCAAACAAATGTTTATCTCATTTTAGATGGGAAAAAAACTACATGTAGGTACAAGCCTGATAGATGACTTTCCTTCCCATTCATAAACAAATTGTCATTTTACAATTCTGCTTACGTTTACATTTTACAAAACCAGTGCACCAAAACATTGCTGACCTTCACTCTTTTCTGATAGACCAGCTGGTTACTCTGGATTGTGAACCACCTCCTGGAAAACAAGATTTTCTCATTTATAAGAAGGCTGAACCAAACAAGATTGTAAGATCTTAAAGTTTCTCAGACAAAATCTGTAATTATAAAAATCTTTACCCACCTGACCCATGTCTTAAAGGCATTTGTTGTTCTCTTGAACAGGTAACCCTCCATCACCACCTCTGAGGAGTCACTCACAGAACTGGACCTCATTGGGGGAGACTTCAGGGAGTTTTCCTGAAAAACAACAAAAATCGTTTCTAAAATTCTACACAATGTGTCATGCTCTTAATAGAAAGCAACTGACATGTACACTTTACAGACATTTGCTTAATTATCAAACATAATGTACATCAAACAAGTATTTTCCTTGTCTCTTGTCATGTGATTATCCCATCAAGTCACGTGACAAGAGAACTGCAAGACGAGATCTGAATCGGGTTGATGAAGAGACAGAGTACGTCTCAAAAGTCAAAAGCTCCCCTGCATAGCTGAACTTTCGTTGTGTGTTTATGTATAAATATTTTGTCAAAAGTAAGTATTTTCCTCTCATCGAAAGAACCATCTGACTGTGCTCAATCAAACCCCATACCTAGAAAAAAAATGTCCCAAACCAATTTCCTCACACGGGCAGAAAAATGTTATCCAACCTGATACCATACAATATTTTGCATCAAACATAAGTTGTACCAATTAAACACTACTGGTAATACATTGTTACGTGACCTATGTGTCCACACTAACATTCCTCCATGCTTTACCTACCCTTTCCTGAACTAACAGATGTCTTTCTTCCATCTCTTTCTTCTCGGCTGCTGCCTGTTGTGTCATCTTCTCCAGCTGTTACACACAAAAATGACTTGGTTAATATTTTTGGTCATCTAGTGGCAAGACAGAAGGCACAAGTCTCTATACACCTGGCACCTGTCCCCTTACTCTTCTTATTAAGTGTGCTGGGTTCATAAATGTGTAGTGATTTGATACCTGAGTCTCCTCATTAAAAGCGTTTTTTAGTTATTCCTAATTAGCGTTTTAACATCTTCTTTGAAGGACAACTTAATTGGTAATGTTGTGCATTACGATGAATTCTGATTTGCATCATGGAAGTAACAACTTCTTAGCCCTTGGTAAAAATTGTAACAGTAAGTTTAAGTTTTGGCAATTGTAAAAAGGCAGAAATCTGACCTGGGCTGCTACAGTCTTCATGTAGGGTTCAAGGTCATTTGTGAGGTCGTATCCTTGGTGATAGAATGTGTTCATGGCATACATAAAGGACAGCATCTGTGGAACAAGAACAGGACAGGTCAGGTCTATGTAACACGATATCTACAATCTACGAAGAATTTCTACTAACTGTTAATTCTACGTGACTGATGAACCTCTTCAACGATATCTACAATGTTCTTATGCATAATCTTTTTGTGTGGCAAGTAGCAGTTTTCTTTCATACACAAAAGAGTAAAACAAGGATACTGGTATACAACATTGTATTTTAAGAGTACATGTATTTCCTTACCGTATCCATGACTTTGAAACGTTTCTTGGACTGTACAACATTGATCTGAAAAAGGAAAAGGTTATACATAAGTCATAGTTATAACTTATTAACTACTAACAACAAGACAGTAGCAAGGTATTTGAACAACTAGAACAGTTATTGCTGTTATTGCTAGTACCGGTACTGTATTTCTGTTTACATGTAAGACATAGTGATACCAGGAAAACACTGTAAAGATTAACTAAATAAATAAAATAACACTAAATGAAATTTTGATGAAATTTTATTGAAATTCAGCTGCAACAAAAGAGTGACAGTGTAAGCTACATTTGAATGTGGATTTTGTATCCTCACATAAGAAATGGATTCTCTAAAGTAATTGCGAAAATAAAACCAGGAAGCTTACACATGTACACACACACACACACACAAGTGAACTCTGATACCTGGAAGACATAGTCTAGTGTAACGTGTCCGAAACATGACCTCATGGCGGTGAGGATGTTGTTTGTCTCCTCCAGCTCCTGAGGTTTGTTCTTGTTAGCCTGGGCCTGGCGCGACAAGGCTGCGTCCATGTCATCACTGATCTTCTCAAAATGTTTCTTAGTGTCCTTCACTTTCTTCAAGTCACTGGAGAAGAAATATAACAAAACAAGAAAGTCTGAAGATGTACAAAGAAGGAAGTCATTTATGGCACCAAAGAAAAGAAGTTCTATCAACCTCAAAATATGTATATGGTTGACTTGTAAGGTGGATCAATACGAATGTAGAAAGAAAAATAAAACAGATATTGGCTGTTCATAATAAGTTTCTTGCTATACTTTCTAGTCTTTCATTATTCTCATTAAAAATACACCAAAATTGTCCCAAAGACGAATGACAGGCTTATCGCCATTGAACATCAATAGCAATTTCCGAGATTATATACAGGTGCTGAAATATTGCCTGAGTTTGCCTCAAAACACTTGTACGGGTTATTTATGAAACGATATTAAAGATGAACACTTACTTCTTGACGAAGTGGTCAAGGTTTTTGCTTATGGCTCTCTTGGCTTGGTCGAACAGAATCTACAGTAAGGAAAATCACATTAATGATTTAAGTAAGTACAGTAAGAAAAAAGACATTAATGTGATGACACAGTCACTAAAGCTTAAATACATGATTGTACAAGAAATTAAGGTGGTTGATGTTATTTATGGGAGTGGATATTTTTAGGTAATTGTATGTTCCTTGTTAGAGATTCAGTCTATACAGTACTTACTGTGTAATAGTTCAGCATTTCTGTCAGCCCGTCTGCAAACCTACACAAGGCATCCTGGAAGATGAAGCAAATGACTGAAGATTTACAAGATAAAAAAACTCGAATACATGTGTGTACCACTAACATTGCGTAGATGGACAAGCACACAACAAGAAAAGAAAAAAAAAACAAATCACAGTAGTGAGACTGTACATGTATTTAAACAGAAGGGTTGTGTAACTTACATTGACTTGTTGGTCCCCTCTAAAGTAGACAGAGAGCTCCCTTACTCCATTAATAAAAGCCCTGTAAGGAGAGAATAGATGTTACATGTACGATGTAGTAAGTTCATGTTGTGATTTGTGAGTGTGACTTGCACATAAATCATTGACTTCCAAGAGACCAGTAGTAGAACTTAATTTACCCAGAATCTGGCATACTAATCATCTACTCATAGATGTCTCAAATACAAGTTTTATACAGCATTATATATAGTGATGAAGTTAACATGTGGCAGAGGCAGGTGTACTACGCTACCATAAAACCACTGCATATGTACTTACCCATTTGCTGCATTATAGGCCTTCCCAGCTTCCATCATTCCATTGCACAACTTAATAACCTGAAACAAGAAATAAACAGTTCTTTTCTCAGATTTGAAGGATGCCAGTCAATTTCAGTCAAAGAAATTTTATTTCAAAATATTGATACATACACAAATTTCATAACTGAAGCAAAGGACAATGTCTCTTATATAATATGTACATGTACACTGACCTTCTCCAGTTTGCTCTCTAAGTCATGGATGTCATTCTCTACCTGTTCCAAGGACACACTGAAATAACAAGGAGCAGCTATGTTTAACATTTTCATTAAATCATAATCATCAGATCATATTATCTCCAAATTACACTAAGTGACTTTGAAGGAATATTACATAGATGCTAGCCTGGGTACCAACTAGATTTTTACATCCGCTCTTGGGCATAAACTAACTCAGCAAATGCAAGGGCCTTACAGACTTAAGCTTTAAACAATGTTTAGAATTAGAGATAGATGTTCAAGGGTTAGGTGTAACAAGTCGATCTGTCTAATGTAGCCAGCTTCTGCCGCGCCACGTGCCTGTGAAGCTGGTGTGTTATGCTGAAGGGCGGTTATACCGGCTATACCACTACAGATACAGGAACTAGTTAAGCTCTTTATGTGCTTATGTGAATTGTGTAACTGATAAACTGCAATGTAGTATAACAAACCAAGTTTGTATCAAAACATGGAACTAAAATCTTTAAAATAACCTGATCCTGTGATTCAATATCAGAATTGCTTATTACTATCAAAAGACCCCTGTGTGCAATTATAATATTAGCATCATAGTCATGCAAGGCATATTTGTAAAATGAGTAAGTCATACAAAAACAACATAATCTGTGGGCTGCATTTGCATGTAACCAACTTAAACATTTTTTTTTGTTTCAACTCGAATGGAGGTGCAGAATTTGCAGTTCAAGTCCACAAGTATACATATAAATGTTTCCGTCAACTGTTGTGTAATAAAGAAACTGCACAGTGGGGCCACCAGCCTCCCCAGATGGCCAAAGATAGCCTGAGATCTCACGGATAACGTGGAAGGATGCAGGGCCAAAGGGCACACCGGCCTCTTAACGCCCAAGTCAAAAATAGATACAGCCAAACATGGCTTTGTCTTTACTGACCTAGCACAAACAACATTAGAACGCTAATGAACAAACATTAAACATTTAACTCCAAAGAGCAAAGCCAAGAAAAGTCGAGAAAATATCGTAATCGCAGGCAGATAGTTTTAATTTCTAACCATGTAAAATTATGTACATAACGGTTACCCTCTCCCAACAAAATTGTGTGTTTGCCAAAATTTATATGTTGCCCCCCTCCCCCACTTACAAATCGTTGTGATGTTACGAACACGCTATCGTGCGATAAGAAAGTCTTGTGACCTACCGGAACTTGGGAGAATCCTTGAGGCACTCCTCGAAGTCGATGGTGACTCCCATCTTGGTGCTTAAGGTGCAGGAGTAAGTGATAACCGGAGACTTAAAGATACGGATATTACCTCATTTTTCTGCAGTGATGTCAAACTTGGCCTGTCAAACAATCGGCAGCACGTGATTCGCGTACCGATTCGTTCGTGCGGCCGGCATCAGTTACATAGCCATACATTCGGTTTCAGTACATTCGAATCACTTTGCTCGTTTTTCGTTTTTATACTTTTAAACGTAAAAGTCTCCAATGGGGAACATTTATATACGCTGATGTAACATTTTATTAAAAAAAGGTGTGTTTTAAAGCTAAAATTTGTTTGCAGAAAGACTAGATCCGTGAAAAAATGATATGGTGATATTTAGTGGTGTGTGACGTGTGTGGGCATTGGTCTGGAAAAAAGGTACCAAAATTGGTCCAATTTGATTGCAATCTCCTTGAAACTATAGTAATTTTTGAACATAAAATCTACATGATTGCTACATTTGTCTGTCTGCATGCATTATTTGCACAGGGCCTGCGTTGTCATGGTTGTTTGTAACCTATTGCTAAGCTATCGCCTAGCGTATTTTATCAAAACTGCAGCAAAGTTTCACACGATGCTTACAGTTAAAGGAAGCTGAGAGTCAACAGTGTTGATATCTTGCGTTAAGAAATCGCTCTATCTAAAAATTTGGGCTATATTATCAATATCTTGCATTTAGAAATGGCACCATTTTTATCAACTGCATTAAAACAGACAACTCTTTTCTAATCCCAACATTTGACTCCACTCCTATGGGGGACGTGGTTTGCTTATTTTGTTGAAATAGTTACTTAATGTATGATATTTTCTACTAATTAAATGGACCCATAATGTAGACTGAAGGAGACGGGGCGCAAAAGTTTCCCAAATCAAAACTCGTCCCAAGAAATTTGATTGGCCGAAAGGAGGTGACGTAATTCAACTTTTGACCAATGAGCGCGGCCGGCCGGGCCGCCCACCCATGTATGGGCGTGTGTTTTGCTAATCGCCTTGGAGGCAGATTTCAAACAAAACCTGCGACCTTATAAACCGTCAACGCCCGGCACGCCTTTATTCATTAGAACACCACGCTTTCTGCTAGATTTTACGCCGGCATGACGATTTTATCAGGTCTTCAGCATGTGTGAATCCCGGGGAGAGAGCTGACTGCGCCGCCGAACGTGCCAGCGAGCTCGTCGGCGGGGAGAGCGCTTTGATCCCGCCGGTGTCAACTTGAGCCTTCGGCGCTTCAACTTGACTCATCTTGGCGGGAAAAATCAAGGTGTCGGCTCGTCTGTACTCCAGGTGTGAACAGGTAAGCTGTTATAAACACAGGTAAACACAGTGCTAAAGGTAGCCTTAGCTAGCGTGGTCTCTCTCGATCTTTTACGAAGCCTTACGGCCGTGCCCCCCTCCCCCTTCCACAATAGCCTCCTTTTGCAGGCTCTTTGCCGGGAATGTACTTCTAGATTTTTCCAGGTTACGAGCTATATTATGATTGCAAATACGTCCTGATAGCTTCATACTAATTCTGCAAAGCATTGGAGTCACCCAAAAAAAGGATTCAGAAGAAATGTGCGTTATCAGCAAAATACTGCGATATTGTAACGTTGCCAAGGAGTCTGGCATGCAGACTAGAACCTCACTACGCCCACGTAACACACCCTCTCGTGTCCTGGCGCCAATTTACTTGGTAATTAGCAACCACAAAAGATCATTAATAGCCTGCAATCTGTGTTTACACATGTTTTTCCTGTTGGAAACATTCAATTTACAGTGCATTTATTATTTGTGACTGTAGAACTTCCATATAATGATATATTTGTTATCTTACTGGTAATGTAAGTTGGCCTGACCATGATGACTCAACAGTTCACAACTTGGCCCCAAAATGCTTCTTATTTTTTCAGGCATGGCAGGAGGAGAATTTTTGCTTGCCCAACTCATATCATTATAAATTAACAGCATCTTAAATCAATTTATATCTTTTCAATTTGTATTATTTTGATCCCATGTTAATATTTTTATCATAAAATAATTATGTCAATTGAGAAGCATGTAATGTTATATCCATGTAATGAGAAGATTTCAAAACATGTTGATTACCAAAATAAAAACATTAATTTGACAAGTTGTAATTGTTCACAAGGTTATGTCAAACAATTAGTCAGGCAATGAACTTCTTCCTTTGCTTGAAGCTGACAAATTTTGGGCTGCAAGTTTCACATTCATTTTGATACAGTAAATTCATTTAAGTCGATTCAACCTGAATTTTGTTAGTCTAGAGTTCATGATTGAAACAAATTATAGCAGTAGGAACAAAATGTGTATGACGAATTTGCAACACAAACTAAAAAATACCAAAAAATTTCGACTTACAGTACAAATGTAATACTTTTATATATAGCTGTATAACATGGACATTGCAACTTGAGAAAAAAAGGTATTTGCAATTGTCATTTAAATTAATAACTCTAATTGGAAAGTATAGGTTGCACGGGGCAACCTATTTCAAAGTTGTCCCCAGGTTACCCACAATCAGCATGCAACCATGACTGAAAAGATATTCAAAACCTTAATGGACCTTGGGAGTGGTTAGATCTGAATTAAGAGCAAAGGTCAGCATCATATTCTTTTGTATTAAACACTGTTGCCATCTACTGTGACGCCTTTGGTTCAAGCTTCAGTCTGTGTAGACCTGACCTTTGGGGACAATGTCATCTCCATGGTGATGTTTCTAATAATAGAAACCAGCGCAGTCATGGTCTGCTATCATAACATGTCCTGGTCTCCAGATGAAAGGACGTACCAGTAGAATTCCACTCTCCTTTCAATGTCCTGTTCCTGTTTTATTATGAATTGCAGAATAGAAGGCAATAAAAACGAACAAATGAGAGACTGGAAGTGAAAGAAAATGATTGTTGGCTTTTGTGTAATAAACCTTCTTCCTGCTGCCAGTAGCCCAGTGTAACCAACACAAATGTTGTTCTGAAACTTGTTCTGAAAGGTGCTGAAAGTTGTTAATAAAATCAATCTGCCACGCTTGCTTTTATTTTCAAACTGATCAGCCTCAGACAAACAATCTATATTCAGGTACAGCAATTTTGAAGTTTGCAGATCAAAACTTTAAAAATGAATATCAAATTGTAATGTACAAGACGAGGTATGTTTGACAAGATTCGAATATTTGGTTGCAAAAAATAATTTTTTAAGAATATATCCTTCAGGTTTGTATGAATATTATAAACTTATCTAGCTCGATAGATATTCAACCTCGACATTCAAATTGCAACCACACCTAACCCTTGTACTACAGTACTTTAAAGTGGACGGTGAATGAGTCTGAGAGAAGAAATACATGTGTATTCACTTTTGAACTTGAAAAGAAATTTGTACAAAGAGGGCCTTTCATGTAACCTAAAACATGCAACATCACGATCAGCCATCAGAGACAATATAGACCGGGTGGCTGACTCTGTATCAATGCTTTGTGGAGAGAAACAAACACACAGGATTTGCAGACGTGGAAAAACTGTTTGTTGTTTGGAAACTTGAAGCCAAGGTCAACATTGCACGACTGTCAGTGACAGAATACAATTCCCAAGCCTGTTTTTTGCACCAGAAATATTCTGTATCTGTATTCTTTTGCAGGTACATATTTGTATACATGTATAACTGCCTTTCATTGATTATAACACAGGCTTTTGTGGTAGTTAGACTCACATCAAGTGCACTGAAACACCGTATAACTATTCATATTATTCTAACTCTAGCTATAGCTATGGTGAATGAATGAGTGGGTGAATGAATAAAAGAACAAACACTAAGGTTTTACTAGTAAGTGCTTGTCACGTGTTAACAAGCATACACATACATATACATACGTATACATCTACTTCATTCAACTTGCTTGCGCTTCTTGGTAATTGTATGAATGTAGGATGCAGATAGAGTATTATACGTCGACAGATATAGTAATAGTAATACAATTCTAGTTATTAAATCATGCTGTGCTTATTTAATGCTACAGTTCAAATCCCCTGAGGACATACACTACTAGTACTCAAAGGTCAACATATGACTCTGAGTCAACTGATCTACACGTACTCATCTTCACTGTCATAAATATTGTTAATATGGTTATTGAGTTATCCTGCTTTGTCTTGTAAAGTACTACCACTACTCACTAGTACATAGTAGTGGATGCAGTTTAATGAGCCTAAAAATCACAATTCAACACTTCAAGGAGCATGTAATTTAATTTCTGTAGGCTGCAATTGTTGAGATTGTTGTCAGCACTAGTATTTTGATCCAGAATTATCTAATACATGTACTAGTATGCTTTTATGCTGAATATTAATGTATAATAAACCGGATCAAAATCCCTGAAAGCAGAAAACAAAGATATAACTATAGAAGCTGTGAAATGTTCCGCTCTCTGCCTCAGAAGTACTGTAGTACCAGGAAGTTTTGGTTCTACAGTTCCAAAGGACATGTTAGCTTGAATCCTGACATCTTACTTGGCAGCATTCGATGTGTTTCCATATTCAAATACTGCCTGGTAATGATGCCAGTCAAGTTTCCTTCCAGTCCGAACCTCTTGAGGAATCTAACCCAAACACTTGCACAATCCTGCCATTTACATACATGTATATCTTCAGGAATTTTATTCTCATAGTCTGAATATCGCAAGAAATCATCTTCTCCTATATAGTTCAGCACTCTTAGTAGTATTACTGGTAAGACATGTAATTCTCACAGTCTTGAAACTTAACCCTTGTCCTGCTGGCATTTTTTACACAATATTTTCAAGTAATCTGTTAATCAGGTCATAGACCCTTGACTTTTTTTGCCGTGCGGAAGTGTAGTAACTTCGCATCTGTTGCGTTTCACTGCGGTGTCATGCATTGCACAAGAAAAAACCCAATTCATACATACATGTACACAGGGCACTTTGTAGATGGTTGTATGTGCAACCAACCCAACAATTGTTGGGCGCCGCAGGACTAGGGCTTTAAAACTTGTTCTGTATGTATGTGAAAGTTTACTGTAACAGAATGAGTGCAGCATGCCCAAGAGAGATAAATCTTACTCAGAAGTTGACAGGGATCATTCTGGCATATGGCCCAGTTCACGACCCCA